ACGGTACTGATCACACAAGGGTTCTGAGAACAGGTTGGGAAATTCTTTTGATTATCTGGCCTAAATTAGTACTTCCTCCTTCCAATCCTCGATTCGATAACACTCCATCTCTCCCACGATCCTAACCCGACAACACCCTCCTCCCAAGTCCAACCCGACAAAACTTCATCCCTTCCGCGATTCTAATAAAATTTGACAACACTTTGTCCCACAAATCTAACCCGACACCAATCCTCCCCACAAACATAGATAAACAACCGAACCAAACAACCCAACTTGTTTCTAGCTCTCCGGTAATAATAAATCCAACGTATAGTGCATTTCGCCGTGCATGTTGTCGATTGGTCCCAAGATTGATAGGTACCCGACCGGTACGACGTCACCTTCCCAATGGTAGAGGACTAGTAGTAGTTGGATGATGGTAGTTTGTTACTGAAATTTCGTATCTGGATATATACGCATACTTGCGTAGGATACTCGTCACTAGCAAAAGGTGGTCTAATGACGCTGATTGAGTAACGAAGGCGAGTTGATATTGGCGTTAGCCCATCTCTTCGTATACCAATCAATAAACTAACTGATCCACCAACCCATTACCATTCAGATATTGCGATATCAAGGCCTTTTCGAGGGCGAGTTTCCGACTTTTGACGTGGAATATCTACTCCAATTAATAATAGCATTAATAAATAGTGATTTCGACATAGCAAATGTATCAATAGGAGTTAGTGTGTTCGTGGTGATATTCGTTGATGAATACTCTATTGTCGAGTTGTTTGGGCACCTATCTACGGAGTTTTCCTATTCTAGGAGGGAGGGTGGGAGGAATGGGCATTATGTATTGTGTGCGCTGATAAACCAACTGCCCAGGCGGTTAATGATTGGTTTACATGTGCATGCATATATGTCTCACTTTCCTGCCAAGAACCTTGTCCACTAATCATTGACACCGCCAAGTAACAAGGATCCAAGTCATGCATATCGCAAGTGGCTGTTTTGGTGTCTAAGACCGATTATGCGGCTAGGTGCTCTAGAAAACCGCCCGAGAATCATGGACCCGGACTTCTGGTAGCGATTCTACTCTATGCTTTCTCGGATGCGTTATTATATGTAGATCACTTTTATCAATGCAAAGCGCACCATCTTGTTCATCCACAGATCTGGGTTTATTCTCTTGGCCAGGACCACCCTTACACAGTTTATTTTATGACAGGCTTGTGTTAGCTTCCGCCATGTGTGGAGATGTTCTTATATTTTTCAGTGATCGAATTCTAACGTAAAACTATTTACACCCACAAAACCTAAGCTCAAGTAAACAATCGATAGATTAGACTTGTACTAATTCAGAGAAAGTCAGCACCGTACTGAATTTCTAACTTTTCATAATCTCACGCTCAATAAAATCGAGGGTGATCAATTGACTCACTGAAACAAACACCCCGGATACTGTGACTTTATATAAGATAAAATTGGAGCATATTCTTTATTAAGATTCCTCGACCAATTTCTCCTCCGGCGCCTCAATCTCAATGATTTTAACATGAGTAGCCGCAGTGACCATAATTACGACCCTCTCAGTATTTAGGGAAGCTTCCCCACGTGCCACATATGGGATACCATGCATCATTATCTATTGGGAGCCTGAATATTTGTGTTCTTGGCGCCGAGACCCACCAGGCTCGACATTAGACCTGTGCGCATGCGCCATAGCGACCATGCGCAGCCTTCACCCTCGAGTGAGAAAGCATGAAACAGAACTCAACTGTCAACTAGCAACAGCACAGGTTCTATGTATAGCTGTCTATATCTATGTTGTTCTTCCTCACCGATCAAATACCGATACGCAAGAGCATAGGTGGCGACCCTATCCGCCTTCTTGTAGGTGCTGTCACTACGTAATTATAAGCAGGAGGCGCTTAGTTTCAAATCATGAGTTGAAAATTTGCAATACATCTAACAGCTGGCATATAGAGGAGATCTCGATCGTAAAGTCGAGTCGTCATCGATTCTTTCTTCGTTTCAGAGTTATAGGTGTTGGAGCATCTGTTGCCCAACGGATCTCGGTGCATTACGCCTGAGTGAAGAATTGGAACCCCATGAAGCAAGGCTAGGCGGAGACTGCATGAAATCCCCAGAAAACAGCCATTAGGTAGATGGCACGTCGAGCAGAGAATGCATAGCCCCCACTTGTGTATCCGTCCTCGAGGTAGGGGCAGACATCTAGAATGCGTGTAAACTCGTATAATCGTGATTATGATCGATCAATTGAGTATGTAGGAGCCGATGAAAAGTTCGAGAGCCTACAATACCTTGCTCCCGACTCCAATTACTAGACAAAGGCCGTTCTGTTGTGGGAGACACGTAGGTACATGTGTTACTAGGCAACCTTCATCTACTACAGCCTCGTTCACAGCCTCGTCTGTTTCACCATCGACAACACATCACTCTGGCTACCCCCATAACCGCAACCAACCACATAGGTTAAAGAGAATTAAACCCCGCCCCTGTAGCCAAACATCAATGTGAAAAACTCTTTCTTATAGGGCTCATGCTCAGTGCCTTCGTTGAGCAGGGAAAGCTACACTTCACAGAAATTCACGCCTCTGTCTCGGAGCCTTGTGTGTGCTTTGAGGTGCGGTTATATCTCTTTGGAGGAAGCCCATCTAGGTATTGGTCAATACTTCTTTTTCGCCGCTTGTACAATGAGCTTGTGAAACAAAGTTCGAGTGTATATGAACAGCACAACCCGCAAGGTTGAGAGACTTGTATGACCAGATACGACTCATAGGATAGCTTTGTATCTTTGTTTGCTGCTCAGAATAACTAGTAAGATTTTGAATTTATAAGTTTTTGAGCTTCATGAAAGCGAGTTGCATGTATGTTCAGCATATTATATCCTATAAGAACGAGTGCGTGTCCTCATTCGCCCATTACGTTTGATATTAACTCTAGAGTATAGTCTATATCACTTCCGTAGGATATACTGAAGCTTTATTTCGCACTGCTCTCTCAATCTATTCTTTTGATAAATTAAACTATATCTATTGTATACCGGAGATAATGATGAGGCAATGTGATTTTTGTACGCATCCTAGAAAAATCTCGTAGTAGACTCCCGTCTATATAGCAGCTATGTCCGGAGATTATAAGTATATTAGAATACATGGACGAAAACACTGCTTTACACTATCCTTCGTTCGCTGAAAACCATGTAGTCAAAGGTAAAGCCACGAGTTACTGAGATATGTGCTAAATGTAAACAGGAGAACATCTTGTCAACACTGATGTACTCTAGTCGAACCCTTACCCAGATCCAATTGCAGATATACACCAGGGGGAATTGTCTGTGACCTAGACATATTTGATAGATAATATGAATGAAACGCTTCGTCAAATTACCTTGCTGGTTTCTATACAGCTTTTCTAGCAAAACATATCAGCTTAAATACCATTAATTTTTCAACCCCCGTCTAGGTCTATTGATGCCCTTCGTTGTAGATTTAACTACATGTATACGACCTATATAATATATATATACCTGCCAAAACAGCACAATTCTTGGATGAGGGGTCTAATATATCATGCGTGATAGTTATTTAATCCGAAAATATAACTCAAGCCAGGAAATCGGCATGGAAAATAGGACAATTGAATATCAGGCCTTAGATTCGATCAAAGGTCGAGGATGCCTCTAACCCCTCGGTCCTGAAGCCACGCTCGGAGTATATTATCGTTCAGAAACCTCTTGAATTGGTGCTCTATGAAGTAGGCTTTAATTCCGGACGATCTCACTCAGGACTTGATTTTTTCACAACTTTCTCTAGCATAATCGTCCAAAGATGAGTTCCCCCAAACCTAGGACGTGCCAGAATGATGAATGGAAACTCATATTAGGATGCGGCTTAATGTTGTGGTTAGGGATTATTTACCCCACAAAATAAGCTATTTCGGACGTCTATAACAGAATCCCTACCCCTAGGTGACAGCGCGCCAAAGAAACCAGAGGCCGCGCTACATGCATGCTCTAAGAATTATACTATTGGTCGACGTTCATCGGCGGGACCTAAGACTGCTGGCTATGCCGAGTGGGTAGGCTTCCAGGTGTCCGAGGGTGGGAAAAGTTGCAGGTTCGAATCCTGCAGGGGATATTACTCGTGGGTTCTTTCTCTAGCTTGGCATGTGGGATTGTTTCTTACTAGGGACTCGGAGAGTTTTCCATGTACTTGGCACCCAAATGGGCATGCAGACTGGTGATGGAGTGTGGCTAGGTACAGTGCTGGCCTTGAGCCGGGTATTCCACATCCTGCTGAAAGGAGCGACTAGTAGGCAGAAGGGTGAAACCCTGTACTTGTACTGTAGATTGTGGTACGCCGATATGAATTAAGCAAAAACAAAAATACTGCTTTGCGGACTCATCCTCTCATCATAGACTACGGTCTGCATGCGAGTATGAATTAAATATCATCCTCTCATCGTCGCGCTCCAATGCTATAGGCCAGTGATCACAATAGTGGAGGTGGACCTTTAGACCCTTGTTTGTGGAGTAGTCCTACCTCTCGCTGTGCATGACCTAAGATTTTGCCTGTTTATCTTAGAACGTTACTCTGCATATAAATCCGGAACTCCCGCACAACAATATTTATAAGTACTAACGCCGGTATATTGTACCTCAGAGTCTCATTTATCGCTACACTCGATATACTCTAATCTCATCACCGAACCTTCTTCAGCAACCGTTATGTTTGCCTACACTGCATCCGACACCATCCGACGTTATACTCTTCACACACTCCACGCTCGAAACGAACAAAGAAGCATCAGCGTAGATGTGATCCAAATAACTACCAGTGTATCTGGCTTATTGATCGCCATTTTTGGCTTGATTCAGGGATATAGATTCTGGAAACAATGCAAGGCAAATGTAATTAAGCCTTCACCCTAATACTTAACTGTTAGCCTTTTCTTGTAACCTAACACTTGCTTAGTCATCAAATGCAGGTATGGAAAATAAAGTTGATAACCCTACCCCGGCGAATCCGAGCCTCGCGGCTACAGCCGCTACCCAGGTTGTCGATACACACGATCCTGCTGCAGGTGTCGGCGATGCGCCAATCCTTGCGGCTGACATTATCACACCAGCTGCAGCCCAGTCGATTGACGAGGAAGAGAGAGGAGTACTTGGGCCTACCAGTGCAACGGCGTCGGTCACCCAAGAAGGTAAAAACCAAAGCAGGGACCCCTAAAAACCAGTATTCGTAAACTAATAATGACTGTACCACCTAGACCTATATAGTATGGATGTTGTGACCACGCTATAGCACCCACATGAGTCGCAGCGCCAAGAATACCAGTAACCCAGCCTACTCCTTAGTAACACATATTTTTTGAGAAAAAATAAAAGAAAGGGGGAAAAGGAGAAGATAAAAACACTCTCTCTCGGCGGCAGGCAAATTTCAAGAGGGAGTAGTGGCGTTCGAAGCATCACAGAGCGAGGTCAGACTCTGGGCGCCCTACAATAGATTAGACGATACCACTGCGGGAACTTCTTTTGCGGAGATATTTCTTTTGTTAGTTCGGTCGATTATGGGGGGTTTGGCGCATTCTTTTAGATTTTTCCTTTTTGTTTTTTTTCGTCCACCGCTAGCTCGTTCCTTACCTTTTTTTTAAAAAAACTATTTACCAACCTGGTCTGTCCATCGTATGTACGCCTGTGAAAAAAATCACATTTTATTAACTAAATGCACTGCCTATGAAGAAGGAATCCTTAACATGTATTGATATTCGGCTCGCTCTCCAGATTACTAACATATTGGGTACATGTAGTACATTTTCTCACCCTAGGATGCCAATACGGGAAATAGCCATGGTCGCGCGAGCGCTAGTAGGGTCGAAAAGCTTAAACCTGCGTTACTATTTTTCAACCTTGGTTAGGGCCTCGCAGCGCGCTGGTGGAGATCCTTGGCAAACACATACCACGTTGTTGGGCACATTTGCTGTAAAGTGATTTGTCATGTATTAGTCAGCACAGCACGTGATAACGTGGACAATCCCTTTGTAAAGGTGTTCTCAGCGGAACGACCTCATAGCTAGCTCGCTGTTTTCCTTTCTGTTTCATCATCATCCGTCGTTAGTATCGTCAGAGAAGTTTTCAGTTTGATTCCTCCCTGGCAAATAGATAAGATTTTATTCATTTTTGTCATTTGAATCGTCGTGAAGCCGAAGACGAAATTAGAAGAAAAGGAACAGACAGAACACGATAAAAGAACCCGGCCAACAACGTCACAATTCCTCGAGCGATGGATTTCCACCATACGGGTCTCTGCACGCTTCTCTGCACCTTTCAACCTTCCCCGAGCGAGGGAATGCCATAATATATTCCACGCGCACCAATCCTTTGCTCGAGCCAGACTTATGCGGGGAACGCACGTTTGGCCCTAAATAACCTGCGACTTCTGGAAGCCCACCATGCAGATACCCGATACTCTAGCTACCTATCTAGGACCAGAAGAACGGCGGTGCGCATGAAAAGTTATTTGTGTGGTAGTGGTTGTTGCAAAACGTTTGTTGTGATTGTTTTGTATGCCACGTGTGAGGGGGGGGGGGGTGATGAGCTCTGTAACACCGCTCATTTCGCAGCAGCTTGGTTTCGAGCGGTGGATACTTTTGAGGTACGCAATAATTCTCCAGCTACGCACAGAGGCAAGACCTGTCTGAGCTCCCAGAACCGAGCTAACTAGCTACCCCCACCGCGGCTCACGACATGATGTCGAGTATCAATGTCTTGGAGTCCCCCTTTTGGTCCGAAGAGGTGGGCACACCTGTGGTTCTGTACGTCTGAGTGGTCGAGGAAAAAACGTTGCGAGGGTTTCGGGGAAATGTTAGTTACTACAACGGGTCGCATACGTACATACATGTATGTAATAGTAACCGTAACGATTTATCTAAATATCCTGGTTCGGTCTCGTAGTTGGTTGGGTGCCGGTGATCCTCGGTCAGACTCGCCAGCACTTGGTAAGTCGGTTGGCCAGTCAGAAGTAAGCAGCAGAACGAAAGTTCTAACAGATGCGTACGGTGTTGGGCGCCTCCAACGTACAATTGGTACCGGGTGGAGGGAGCTCCGCTACATTGCAAAGAAGCAGAGTAAGGTCCGTACGGTGCCGTTAAGGATATAGCAAGATTATTGGTGGGAGGTGGTGATGGTATCCTACCACATGGAAGAATACCTACATGTTCGAGCGAACGGCCGTGCACCCGATCCAGTTACCATAGAAGGACAATTAACTACAGTTGGGACCAGATGTCTCAACTGTTCCACACCGCGCGCTTATAGAAACTATGTAACATCGTCCCCAGGTAGCATTTTGTTATGTACTGTGTTCCAGGTTCGTTTTCTCCATTCGTTATGTACAACACCAGAGCCACAATAGTCACTGAGAAACATCATAGTTATATATCATGTGTATATCTTCATGGTTTTGAGCAGTACATTTTCCATATCATCTGCTCTTGAGCCTTCTCCTACATTCCGAAATCATCACCATCGCCATCATCATCACATACATATACTGGTATTCGCTACTTACATACATAAGCTTCGGACGAAACTTTATATTTTATTTTTGGCCATGTATCCAACTATCTCGACCACTACCACAACCGAGGCTTTTTTGGCCGACTTTACGTCCGCTCTTGTGTCCAATTCCCATGCAATATATGCCCGGGATGAAAGAAGCGTGACCGTTGATGTTATCACCGTGTCTGCTAGCATTATTGGGGTTTTCATTGCCGTGGTTGGCCTGATTCAGGGATACAAGTACTGGAAACATAATTGCAACCATGATGTGAGTAAGACAGTTTAGGAATCAGGGTTAGGGTATTAATCTGTCGGTTGTATGGCTTGTGTCTCATATGGCTTGCGTCTCATGTGGCTTACATTTCATTTGGCGGCGATCTTATCCCAATTCACAGGAACAGACTAGACGAGGGGATAACCACAGTCATGAAGGTCAAAGAAAGAGAATCAAGCAACCCGAAGTCATATCTGAGGTTCAATCCTCTTATGTTTTCTGCGGCTTAGAAAACCCGCTATTTAATCATTTCTATTGACCCATGACTGTGGGGATCTATAGTCCTAATATTCCGATTAATCTATTAATAAGTTTCTAAATCTAACATTTCCGCCTGCTTAGTTACCGTCGGCCGCTCTTCTGGGAGCCATACAAAACCTTAATCCTCCACCGAACTCAATCATGGTAGATGCGAATCAAGTATTTGGCATAGCGTATGCTGCCGTCCTCGTGTTCCTGCACAACGCCTTTGTTGCTGTAGCGCCGTCGTCCTCGCCAACTGCCATCGGGAATGAGCCAGATACGCCGCGCGTGTATGACCTCGAGGCGGGTGTCGTGGGCCTTCGGCGCAACCAAGATACTGAGGTGGAGGAGGGGGAAGGTGCTGTTGCTGGTGGTGCTGCGTGTGCTAGTTGATGTAGATGATGAGGTGATGAGGTTATGAGGTTCTGTTTTAACGGTTCTATTATTGTGGGTTGTTGGGTTGTGTATAGATCGGAGCCTTCGTGAAACTTTGGAGGATTGTGTTAGATTCGGAATTGTTTAATACCAGTAATTAAGGGAATGCGGGCTCTCATGAATTTATTTAATCTCTTGTCTATAGTATTCATATATTGCTGTATTGTATTCTGGATTCCTTAAGGCGCTTTGATTGATCGAGAGCGTCGAATATTAACAATATATATACCTACGGCAATCGATGTCGAGGGCCAGACCGTCAACGGTACATTCTGCCCACTAAGGTGATCTAAAGGCGTATATACTTGCCATATCTCTTCTCATGTCCAGCAACCCATTCTTCCTAATATGGAAGAGTCACAGTGACTTCATATCGCCAAATAGCTGAAGTTTTCGGGGCATTGATTCGAATTCGTCCCAAGATGTATTTCCGGACCAACAAGGAAGAAAACAGCTGGACACAAAAGATTTGGCAAGTGTTATCACACTCTATAATACTCAGTAGCTACAAGCATAGAAAGAACAGACAGAATTCATGTTAACTTTAGCAGGGCACATTGCATGGCTATATTGGAGATTCGGTAGGTACGTATGCAAGTAACATTGCAATTGCGACTGACCACCGTTGTTGGGCGCGCTAGCCGTAAGCACATACTACATGTAGTGGAAACGAGTGTTTAGGAGGACGATCTTACACATAATGCTCCTATTCGATCAAAACTTTGCAACTACACCCTAGGACATCGCTGCGACACTCTACCTACATAAATGGGGGGCAGTAGGTGCTGTTGGCCAAGAGGGGTGGTTTTGGAACTTAGTGGAAGGCGCGAAGGGAAGAGGGAATAAGAAGTAGGGGGAGGCATGTCAACGAATCAGACACCAGGACACCCTCCCCCCGACGTCGTTACCCAGAGATAACACATGACTGCCAAGAAATTCATGGGCCCCATTAAGCTAATCCCTGTATGTTTTGTTGTCAGTGCCCTAGCCACACTAGATCGTGATCGTGGTTGGTCCAGTGATCGTTCATGACCTCGCCCCGCCGACCAACGAATGGGAGGATTCGAGATATCTGATATCTGTATGTAGAGTCGGTCCCTATAGTATATAAGCACAAGAAGACCATAATCAAGAACCATTTCAACAATCGCGCAAGAGGCTGCACTTTGTGCGTGGTGCAGAAAATCTAAGCTTTGGTTTGTGCGGACTCTGGAGTACCTTTCGAATACAGTTTCTTTTTGGTCCTCTCATCCTATACCGGTATACCGCGCGCTACCAAAAGTGAGAGCTACAAATGCTAAACCCAACTATCACGACCTCAGTTACGGCAGCCACCGTTACATCTACCGATGCCCCGGCATCTGAGAGCTTTTTAAGAATCACTTTTCACACTCTCTATACCAGAGCAGATACAAGTGAAAGTGTTAACTTAATCACCATAGTCACCGGCCTAGCCGGTGTGATAATCGCTGCAATTGGCCTTATCCTGGGCTACATATACTGGAAACGCCCGAGGAAGGCTGCAAGCATGTACATCAGGGTTAGGGTCTTCCATAATACTATCGGGTCAGGGTTAGGGCTTACTCGATGTTGTCTCTGTAGTCCTGCCCTAGCCCACTCCCGGACTCAATCAATGTCAACCATCTGCATGCCCTGTGGCTCGCCTTTCTCTTGCAGTGCATGGCATCGGTAACCCCCACCCCCACCCCCACCCCCACCCCCATCCCCACTCCTACCCCTCCCGAATACGAAAGCGATCCAGAACTTGGCCGAGCGTCCACCCTCAACTCCGAGCCGGATATTACGGTTGAGCCCGGGCTCTCCGGTGCATAGGAGGAGCCGGAGGAAGCTCTCGGGTTAATAGGTGCTCGGTAGTGAAAATTATGAACTTTACATTACGGGATTCAAGTTTGGTTGATTTGTTCTTTGGAATCTAATGTTACGAGTTTCATAAATATAGGTTATTGGGTTTTTATTTTAGATGGCGTATGGGAGTACTTGAGGTTAGAGTTGGGCTCACGATCGTTTTTAATCTTTTCTTTATATTATTTAAAACAATGTTATTATGGCTTGCTGAGGCGAAGCCTTTCTTTTATGGCGGTCGGGGGCCACAGTGATCAAGTGAATCTTGACAGGCGATTGGCGGGATGTACTGGGAAACTTCTAATGCAGATCGATGCCATTCAACCAACCATTGTAAGAAAAGGAAGTAGGGAAGTTCCAATTGTATCCGAGGCCTGCTGAGGCTGGCTTTCGCCAAGGTCCCATGGAACGTTTAGAGTAATATAAGGAGTATAAGTCCAACAACGAGGAACCAGCGCCAAAGGATTATATTAGACTCACTTCAGTATTATTTATCCCTAGCCGGTATATTGCTACCCGCCAAAGCTCAGCGCTGTCACACTCAGAACGAAAGTTCTACATCTCTGAGCATCGATGAACAGTACTATCGCACCCGTTGCATCAAGTACCTTTACTCCTCAGACTCTCTACGCAAGGGCAGATACAAGCGCGAATGTTGACCGCGTGATCACTATCACCACCAGTGTTGTTGGTTTAATAATCGGTATAATTGGCCTCATTCTAGATATATATATTGGAAACATTCAAAGAAGGCTGTAAGTCAGATCGAATACATACAGTACATCTTAATTGAAGACTTGGGGCTCGGCTGCTTATGGAATATTTTAGTCATTAAAGACCGCTGTTCCCATCCCCAGTCCGTCCCTAACGGATAACCCTAACCCAATTCCGCGCTCGGTGGATGCCCACCATATCCTAGGCCTAGGGCTCACCTTTCTCATGCAGTGGATGATGGCACCTGTACGCCCCTCCCCTACAGAGCGTGAAAGCGACCCAGAACTTGCTCGCGTGTTCACCATCCACTCTGAGCTCGAGCAGGATGCTGTGGAGCTTGAGCCTGTTAGATAGGAACTGGAGAGGAGGGTAATTAAACCCAAATTAAGCACCCGGTTTGAAAATTGTAAGTTTTGTGGGGTTCGTCTCTAGCTGATCTGGCTCAGCACTACATGTAGCTGTTTCTGTGGAATCTAATCTCCATCAAGTGTAGGCGGGCCGACGTTATTTGGATCGAATGCATAGCGAGGGGAACATTATTTTTGGTTTCTTTTTATCTTGTGTAAGGCTTGGAGATTTGGTATCAGCCATACGATCGTTTTCTCATTTTTTATGTCTATATTTAAAAGCAAAAAATATTATTGGGTTCTACCTGTATCCTGCGTGCATAAATTTTCTCCGATAAATTAAAAACTTAAAAATTGAAAGAAAAGGTAAGTTTAAACAATAAAGTGAACTAATCGATTCGTTTATCGATTCGTTTCCCCATACTGATTTGATTCGTTTATCAATAGGAGACGAGTTACTCTAACTTACACATTTACAGCGATGCATTTCCCAACATACACGCATTGTGAAAATCGGATGCATTTACTGATTCGTTTTAAAACTGGTAGAGAGATGATTGATTGGCTACGAGACAAAGTCTGGTTTTAAGCCAGCTTCGCTAAGTGACAAGTGACCGGCCCTGTCATAACACAGTTGCGCCAAGACTCTGCACGACAATGTTTTCTGGAACGCGCCAAGCTTGAGCTTAATTCGACTACAGCTGCAGGGATGTGTGCATGCACCTCACTAAATGAGGGTGTATGCCAAGAGTTAGTAGATGACTAAGATGCGACGGCACCTATCTGGCGGTAGTGGGACACTTGGCTTCGTTTCCCTCTTATTATCTCGTCATATCGCTCTCCTAGAGCGATAAAGTTTCATTATCCTAGCTATTTATCAAGCCTTTCTATGGCCCTACTCGCAAAGCCCCCCAATGGGTATGGAAAACAGCCAAAAACAACGCTTGCTCGCCCTGGCTTCTCCTTGGCAAAGGGTTTTCGTTATGATGATATCCTAAGGGTTAGAGGGATTAGGTTTGCAGTCGCTGCGTGCTTGGGCTCACCAGCTTGTTAATTCTGGTAAGAGCCCCACTTTCCCAACTCTCTAAAACAGTGGTTTAATATATTAGAACAGCTAGCTGCTGATCGAAGATCATTACCAATAGAGCTACACAAAAAGGACAAAGCCTTTTGTGGGTCGATGGGTTGGAGTATATCCGGGACCCAATTGATTAGGAGCCGTCCTTCAGGTGAATCAGGATCCACGTGAGAATGCTTTCCAAGGTTCACCCAAACTGTACTGATGTCGGTATTCCACAAATTATCGATGCTGACACCTCTTGTCAATATTGGGCAACAGATCAATAAACAATACGATTGGCTCTAGGCGCCTTTCTCCCTCGACAACGGGGCCATTATTGCCTCGCATTACCGAGTGTGCGTTCTCTTCCAATCCAACGACATGTTCGAGATCTTCAGTTAGGCGAGGGGTGGGATTCGATCGAATGCGTCGACTGGAAAGAGTGGACTGATAGGTTGAGTGTTGACTGATCTCCTATGCTATTACATCATGGATCAGCATACCAATAGGCCATTCTGGATATTTTTAGCCTACACTTGTATCACCCTTTCCTAAAATTTGGCTTTGAACCTAAGCTCGTACCCAGCCTTCCTGTCGGAGGTGCCGGACCATGTCCCTCCCACGCTTGGCGGAATATTTTCGCTGCGAATTTGAGAGGCTACCTTCAAAGGTTGAGAGCTATCGGAGCCCAATCCACGTACGTAAAACAAAATCTTTTTAGCCTCCGACATGAAAATTAAAGTTTATTTTGATCTCGGTGCCACAATTCGGACTCCCCGACCATCACACTTCGGAGCTCGACTTAGGAAATGAAGGGTGTCGGGTTCTTTTCTCCCAGAATTTGTCGGAATATCAATACCCCAGACCCTATGGTGAGCGGCAAGATCTCGTAGATCTCCGCTGCTGCCTCTGCCCCTGCTTCTGCTTCTGCCTATTAGTAATGGTTATACCAACCAGTGGGCTGGATATGACCTACCTTGATACCGGTGATGGTGATGGTGACTCCAAGCACTAAACTACGTTAGCAGAAGGGGAGAACATAGGGAGCAGGTGGGAAACGTAGGGGAACAGGAGGGGGAGGGAATGGAACATGCAAGGAACAGATGGGAACAGTTGGGGAACAGAGGGGAATAGATGGGACACTGATTTAATAAGATCAACTTGATGGAAATTGGGATGAAGGGGATGATGCCGAAGTTGTTGGTGATGATTATCGTGGAGGTGTTGGTGGTGTTGAAGTGTTGGTGTTGAAGAGGAAGGCCCCAGCCATACGTTTCTTAATCACACCCGCCCTTACCAAAAGGCTGAGAAAGAAAGAACAAACTTCGTCCGTTGAGTAACATCTGCAGATGCAGTCTCAAGAGACTTTAATCGAGCTCGTCCCTAAATAGATTCCAATATCACACGCCTGAGCTGCCAGGTAATGCCAATTTGCCTCGCAATATAGCGGCAGTCTGACTTTAAGTTTACCTTAGTTAGGGCGGATGTCCTAGGGCTATGTTGACGTGACCTCTAGCAGCTGGAGTCACGATCGGCTTATCAATATCAGTAATCGCCATTGTGTGCGGCCATAAGCTCTGGTGGTGTATGGTTAGATCTGAGCTTACCCATGCCTCAAGTAGAATAGTCCGTTTCTTCTATGCAGGCACCCGCCAGAGGTACCAGTCTCAGTCAGAATCGTGTTTCGCCTAGCCCGAGAAAGCGACTCTTAGTCTCCCGTCCAAAATCTCATTCGCTACCGGCCGCATGGGTGCTGGTAACAAACCGTGGTAGCCAATTAGTGGTTCTGACCCTCGTGCCTCCTGACGGTCCAGCGAGATAGCTCGCGGGTCGATGCCTAGCTAGCTGCAGCCGTATGGAAAGTTTCCGCTGTGTCAGATGATTCGGACGCGAGAGCTTTACCCTGGCTCCGTAACGGTCGAGCATTCGGTTCATGTGGGGTCTGGATCTAGGGTGAACCACGCATATGCATACAGTACATGTATCGATAATTTTCGGGACCAATGGCGACTAAACGCACGCTTGTATAACGGCTTGGCGGGGGAGAAAGCTTGTCCGATGTGCCTGGACTCGTTGATTGTCTGTGCTTGTCAGTGCATGCTAGCCCTGTTTGTCTATCTCGTGTGTGATTTGATCATAGATGATTTGCTGGTCTTCTGATCCCATGGAAGGTTCACAGGGAATGCCTAGCTTATCAGCGTACCATCGATGTAACTGGTCAACACCCACCAAACGTCAAATCGGACGGTGGTCTAGAATAGAGAGATGCATAGCATTATCGTCGATATACCCGGGCGGTCTACGAAAAAGTGGATCATGGAAGAATATATCGGAGGTTTCCAGAATCAAATACGGCTTGCATAAGAAAACTCTGGCGGATATGGCTCATGATTGGCTTAAATCGCCTGGAGGTCTCGTGTATGTAGGTACAGCCACTCTGCAAAGGTGTTTGTGATTCCGATTTCGGAGTGAGACATTTCTCCATATGTAACCGCAGCGGACCATCAAGAACCCCCCAAGAGAAGACTTTCCCAGTGACCAATGGCGCCCAAGTTAATGAAGAATAAGATCAATGACCTATCTTCTTTTTATATATAGTCACAAACTATATTATATATTTTTCGTTGTTTTGAATCTCAACTTTAATAACATCAGTATAACGGGTGCGCCACTCTGCGCACTGACATTAAAACTATATCACGAACACTTTTGCTGAGTGGCTGTATGTGTGGGCGTATTTTAATTCTGGCGAGGTGGGTGCTGGTGGGGTATATATACATCCTCCTTGTATGTAGCTCCACCAGCCTGTTACAGTTCTAGATGTGGAAGACACAACTTCAAACATCACCGGCCTGGTTTGTGGTTCTAGATACAGACAGCACCACCTAATGGCGCACGACATGGTATTCAGAAAATCAAGCTCTCACATTCACAAGCCGGCACGCAAAATAAGAAACCCCAGATCCCTTTATTTTATATACCAACTAATAACAAAAAAAAAACGCCATAAGAAACGCACCAGCGCCCCATCTAGATATCCATCTTCTCCCCCTCCAGCCACTGCTTCGCCTGCACATACAGCAAATCATGCTTCTTCCCAGTGAGGCTATCACCCTCATTCCTGTGTCCCGGCATATCCAGCATGACCTTGACCCCCATCGTCTCCTCCTGACAATACGCCAAATACCTATACCCCTTCGGAAACCTCTCCAGCCGCTCATCATCCAACCTCGGCACCCGTCTCGGGTCCACGGGGATGAGCTTATCCTTCTCATACCAATGCCTGACAAAACACGCGCCCCACCTGCCCTGGCGCTTCTCGAAGAGGAAGAAGAAGCGGCAGTCGGACTCTGCGTCGACCTCGCACCCGTCGAGCACGAAGCGCTGCGTGATGGTGGCTTTCATCTTTGTCACGGCGCGGTGGCCCTGCAGGTCTGTGGTGGTGCCGTGGATGCGGTGCATGATGAAGGCGCCGCGGTCCATGCCGGCTTGCGAGGCGGCGATGAAGTCGGCGATGGGCGTGCGGCCCGTCCAGGTGGTGTAGACGTAGGCGTCGGGGTAGTGGAAGATTGATTTGAAGTTTTCCCATTCGCAGGCGTCGCTGTGGGGGGGTGTTAGTGGTGGGATGGTTCATGCAGGATTAGAGGAGGGAGGGAGGGAGGGATGGCATTACCGGTAACACGGCCAGCCTTCGGCGAGCTCGCGGATCTTGTAGCGCTCGAGGGCCAGGTCGTCGGGGCCGTTATTGCGCACCGCGCCCTCGGGGCGGGTGTTTGGCGGGAGGGAGTGGAAGTCGGGCATTGTGGGGGATGACGATGATGATATCGCTGGTTTTAGTTCTACAAGCTTGATGGCGCAAGAATGTCGAGGATCTGTTGGGAGTCGTGGAACGGAGGTATTCATATATATATACTAGTACTAGATCTAGCTCTGTAATTCACCGCATCTTTGTGCAATCCCCAGCCGAGACAGCGGCTATATGTTTACCCGCGGGGTGGGGTGAATGCACTTCCGAGGGTGTTGTGGGGTAGTGAGAGGCAGACACAGAGAACAGAGACACGGTGGTGATTACAGCTCGGACCAAGCGCTGTGCAGCTGGTGCCTGCAATGCCGAGACAGATCGACAGTGGACAAGTGATTACCAGAGAATTTGAAATGGCGCGGTGTCTGTGTGGAGCGGGTGCGTAATTGCGGACTGGCTGTTGACACACCCTGGCTGGGACAGGTGCGGGGTGGACACACAGCGCGGGGGGTGTGTGTGTGGATACTATTTAGCTCGTCGCATTCCTCTTCTCTTCTCTTCTCACAGCACTCACCCACTCCATCTACAGCATCCACTCTACAGCCTCCACTCCACTCACCCACTCCATCTACAGCATCCACTCCATCTACAGCATCCACTCTACACCCCCAAAATGGACCCCACAAAAGTCACAATCCCCCAATGAAAGACCTCACCGACGAAAACATCACCGCAAACACCCACATCATCAACTCCCAAGGCCCCGACAAGCGCCTCCAATTCCTCATGCACTCCCTCGTCAGCCACCTCCACGACTTTGCGCGCGAGACGCGCCTGACCACAGACGAGTGGATGGGCGCCATCCACTTCCTCACCGCCACCGGGCAGAAATGCACCGACACGCGGCAGGAGTTCATCCTCCTCTCCGACACGCTCGGCCTGTCGATGCTCGTCGACGCCATGAACCACCCCAAGCCCCCCGGCGCCACCGAGGGAACAGTGTTGGGCCCGTTCCACACACACGACGCGCTCGAGTTTGAGAACGGCGAGAGCATCTGCAGCGCTGGGAAGGGGGAGGCGATGCTCGTGCTGTGCACGCTGCGGGATACGGCTGGTAGGCCCGTGGTCGGCGCGTCGGTGGATATCTGGGAGACGGACGAGACGGGGCATTACGACACGCAGTATGCGGACCGCGGGGGGCCGGACTGCCGCGGGATTCTGCGCAGCGGAGAGGACGGCTTCTGGTTTAAGGGCATTCGCCCCGTGCCGTATCCCGTGCCGACGGATGGGCCCGTGGGGGATATGTTGTTGAAGCTGAAGAGACATGCGTATCGCCCGAGTCATATGCATTTCAAGATCAACGCGCCGGGCTTTGATGAGCTTGTGACGTAAGCTCCCCCCCCCCCCCCTCCTCCTCTCATCTTCCCTAGCTAACACCCCCACAGCGCACTCTACGTCCGCGGCGACCCCTACGAGACCTCCGACGCCGTCTTCGGCGTCAAGTCCTCACTGATCATCGACCTGCGCAAGATCGAGGACGCGGCGCTGGCCGCAAAGCACGGCATGCAGGTCGGCGACTGGCTGCTCGTGCACGACTTTGTCATCATTACCAACGAAGAGAGCGATGCGCTGCGCAGGGCGCAGGCGAAGGAGGCGCTGCGCAAGTTGGGGAGTGTGGCGATGCTGAATAGTGATGGGTTGCCGACGGCGGCAGAGCTGGATTGAGTTGTCGTGGAGGGGGAGAGGGGGGGGGTGAGACTCTAGGTTTGAGGGAATAGCTTTTTATTTTTCTTTGCGTGGATGGGTGTTTTTAGGGATGGGATTTGTATATAGTTAGTTATGTTGTCTTTTCAGTGATCATGATGGCGGGTTATGGAATTGATACTTCTTTTACTTTTTTATCTCACCGAATAAGATCGCTCTACATGATGCCCTCGTAGCTGAAACCGAAACTGACCCATCATATAACCAAAAACTAAATTGACTGTAAAGTAACACTGACCCAACCAATCCAATCACACTCCACCACTCCACCTACTCTTACCCTCTCCACCAGGGATGCATCCCTGGCCCTCAACCGCAGAGACTTATAAACAACCAATCGAAACGTATGCCGCCATGCGGTACTCCCACCGGCCCACTGGTCCGTTCACTGGGCTCATACCCGATCTGCGCGCGGGCCCAGTCAGACAGACCTCAGTGGTTGATACCGCCACGACCAATAAAAGTGCTTGGCCCAATTGCGCTTCTATGTACTATGATCCAATTGGATTTTTACTATTGCATACTGCCGTACAACGAGTGGTACTCTAGAAACAGGCGTCTAAAAACAGGGTTTCTGTGGCTGGGCAAGCCAATAGGACTCCTCCCATATTTCTACCGCAAGCTGTACATACCCAAAGTGCAAGTCTAAGTGCAAGTTGTGATCCGATCTGCTGCCGGTAGGTCATATGTACCCCTAACCCACTAACTACCTACCCTCCGCTTTGGGCATTACCCGTCCGGGATCAGGGTGCGAGACACGTCCCGATACGGACAGCATATATATAGGTGGTTGCTTATGGTCAAATCCCGATACGGACAGCATATATAGGTAGTTGCTTATAGATGGTCAATGATTGTTTGGCGGGTAAAATGGGGGGGGGTGTTACACAACGTATTTCGGCCAGTGGCATATCACAGAGCAGAGAACAGTACTGTAGATCATGAGTGTTTCTTTGAAATTTTTTTTTTCCAACCCGGTCCGATAGATATCCAAGAAAAAAGAATAAAAAAAAAAAGGAAAAATAATCTATTTACATCAAAAAACACAAAAACACATTTCGCTTAGTATAAATATTGACGATGACGGGTTCTAGTGCTTGCGCGCCTTCTCCAGCGCCTCCCTGATGACCGCATTCGCATGGTCGACCGGGAACTCCTCCAGCTTCTTCTCAGCCCACAACACCTGCTGCGCAATACCCTGATGGATCATTGCCTCCGTCCCCGGAATGACCGCCCAGCCGTTACTCTCGCTGAGCTTATAGAACGCAGTGACTGGGTGCGGGTGGTAGCACATCTCGTGGACATACCCCTTTACGGCGCCCTCCGCGCGCTGCACATCCCTCTGCAAAAACTCCTCGGCGATCTTGCGCGCAAGGATCTCGCCGGGCTCCTTCGGTGGGAAGTCGGGCACGGTGCCGATCACGATCACGGGCGTCTCGAGCGCCTGCGCCTGCGCGAGTGTCGCGACGTGGATGATGTTTGCGGGGCACCCGGCGGCCTGGAAGGCGTCGATGATGGCCGCGACTTCCTCGGGGATGCGGTTGACGATGTAGATTTGCGAGGCGCCGAGCCACTTCCAGCAGGTGTAGACGGCGCTGCGGCAGGCGCCGCCGCCGCCGACGATCATGGCGGGCTTGCCGACGGAGTGGGAGAGAACGTCGGGGTGGTTCTGGAGGAAGGCTTCGCGGATGCCGATGCAGTCGGTGTTTGTGCCGATGTAGCGCTTGTTGCCGGCGGCGTCGAGGCGGAGGAAGATTGTGTTGATGGCGCCGATCATGCGGCCTTCTTCGGTGAGGTCGTCGACTTGCGAGATGAAGTTGACTTTGTGTGGCATTGTGACGGCGGAGCCGATGCAGTTGTCGGCTTTGAGCTTGGGGAGGAAGTCATCGAAGTTGGTGGACTCGACGAGCGAGTAGTTCCAGTTTGTGTTGAGGGCGCTGAAAAGGGTGTTGTGGAGGAGAGGGGCGAGGGAGTGCGCGATGGGGTAGCCAAAGAGGTATGTCTTCAGAGGCTCGGTGAGAGAGGTAGGGGTGAGGGGAGAGGTGCCGTAGGCGTAGGAGAGCTTGAGGGTATCGGTTTCGGCAGACATTGTAGTGGTGGTGGTGGTGGTGGTGTGATGATTTTTTTCTTTCCCGTGTGTTAGAAATCAACTGATGTGAACTGTTTTTTTTTTCACCCTCCTAGAAAGAAGCAATGAACATACGTTTTTAAGACGAAATCTGGTGATAATTGCTTTCGTCTAAAACCAACTCGGATGGGGTTTTAAGCATCTCCCTTCCCTTCTCCGCAGTTTTACTTCTTTCACCTCGGCCACACTCGGCGCTGTGGGGTTTGCGGCCCATGACAACGCCCCCAAGCCCAAAAACACGATGGCCACTCACTGGCTGTACCTGGTCTCACACACCCCCCATCGCCTCCATCACCACCATCACCCCGCATGTATGCACACCTCATATGGGGTCAGGTACCAGATGGCATAAATCATTACCCGTGCCGTTCGCCGTCGTTGAGGAGGACAAGAGTGCGGGGTATGCAGATCATTGGCGGATAATCTCATATCCATCGCTTTTGCGCGGAGATTCGGAAGGCGCGGGTTAAACGAGGGTGGGTTAGGGTTGGCAACACCAATGATCATCCTCTACTAGTAGCTGCCAAGACATCCCGTACTCCAGTTAACTTCGTCCCACGTGTGAGCACAGCACCCGGTACATAGAGCAGTGATGGCATGCACGGATAGTGCGGATCTTCCTGAACTCTTGTCAGGTGGTTCCGGTGCATTCAACTACCGTGTTTTTCGGGCATCACTCGGCCGGCAGCTCAAATGTCAAGTTTGGTGGCTGGACTGGTCTTTCAAGCCTCATTCGTAGAATTGCTGCGAGTCCATGGCTGAACTTTGGCGTTATGGCGTACTTATTCGGCTTCTTGACTGTAGTACATTTGTTCTTATGTCGCCATGTCTTAACTTAGGTGCCGTGTACGTGACTGCCGAGACACACACCGAGTTTGAGATGCTAATGAGTTTATTTGCCAAGGTATTCCTTCCGCTTGTTTGGATAGTTAGTAAGAAATTGCCTCTCCAATTTAGAACCAAATCTGTGCGCACCTAGACTCACAAGTTCTTCGTGCGGTGTACCTCCAACAAAGCTTCATTAACTTGTTATCCCATCCCACGATGTGCCCTAGCATATCCGTATGGCGAGTGATACTCGGTGACTTTGTCCGGTCCTGCTTACCTAACATGCATGTGTACGGCTAAAGCCGGCGTATGACTTTCTGCTGTAATAACACCCATTCCGGGATCCGCTTCTGCTGTGGTTTGTAAGTATTGATAATTCAACTCTAAACAGTTAATTATGAGTCAGAACAGATATACGCTGACGGATATCAGCTTTAATCTCTGTAAAACAGGTTGTAACATATTAACGATATGCTACCTTTGAATCAAGAGCCGAAGAGAGACTTGGAGCCGATGATCAATATACCCGCACCCGGGATTTCCTCGTTGTTATATATTCCAGTTGATAATCCGGATCAGTACTTGGGAGTTTGGTTATAGCACCCCCCCCCCCCCCCCCCAATAGTCATACCTTTAACACCGGCCGACTTCACATCCATCATTTCATTTCCAAGACCAACCCCCGTTTCTTTTGTGTCCCTCACGGGATGTTCCCCCCCTCCCCCCCCGCCAGTCTATGAAACATGGTGAGCCGGTAAATTCCGGGTCTGGGTTTTAGAACCACATTTCTGCGTTTTTATTCCGATAGTTGATACTCCTCAACTGTTCTGCCTGCCTCAGCGGTTAAAGCCAGAAATGGTGCAATGCCATAACGACATTCATAAGCTCATATATATCAGAAAGTAGCCACTACAGGTAGTATGAAGACAGCGCTTAATCATCATCACACCATGTAAGAAGCGTGTGATAATCTGCTGGATACTCAGAGACCCTAATGCCATCGATTGTAATAGGTATTTGCTACATCTCTCGTGGCCTGGCTCTCTAAGTCATGGCCCTGAGGTGAATAAGTATAGGTCTGAGATGGATTCTCGAGGAATATATATCGTTCTTTAAAATTAGTAGTTGAACTATCCCGCAACGAGGTGTGGCTGTGACTGCGATGTAGTTAGTTATATTTAATAGGGGTTGTATGCTGAGGTGCCGTTGGGTGGAGGATTTACCTAATCCATCTTCCTTCATGGGCGGGATTTTGTAAGGGAACAATTATGCAGCATGAGATGCTCAACGCCTCAAAACCTAGGGTCAGGTGTTGTGCGTGGTGTAAATTCCCCCTATCTGGTCGGTTTTGATGTGTATAGACACCAGTGTATTCGCGTATCCTTGAATATGGATCACGTTGGAAGCCAAGAGCTGCAGAGCTTCGTGGGAAGACTAGATGTGTTTGTGCGTGTGTACGTATGAGCGTGGTAGGCCGGGTTACCTAAGAGACTTAAGACCACAGTTCGTTACCGGCATGCAGACGTTCTCCCAGAAAAAGACACATGCACAACACCGGGCATGCGCAGGGAAGCCACCACTCAACAACATATATGCACCGACTACATGTATTCATCGACTTTAATCTTACTAGTACAGTCCAATCTCCCTATAAGGGTACCTCTTATAAGGGTAATCGACTTATAAGGGTATGGGTTCTCGGGCTATAATCGCCTTCGTAGGCACAAATTCACCCTGTGTATAAGGGTACACGGCCTATAAGAGTACGACTTCGCGCCACTTTTGTACCCTTATAGGGAGATTCGACTGTACTAACTCGAACGACTAACGATACTATCTATTACACTAATCTAATCAGTTCAAATATTGAGAAGATCCTACGCCCCCCGCACGCCGAGTCAATCATAGTGCATCACTCGCCTTCGCCGTGGTCTGATTTCCAGTCCCATCACCGCCGTCAGGGGCTCAAATAAGTGCAAGAAATATCCTCTCATCTTCCCCTTCCTGTGTTTGGTAATTTTTTCTCCTCGACTACCACAATCGAGTCGTGTCACGAGAGGGTATGGCTATCGAATTATGGCGAGACATATGGCATGATACAGTCTTGGCGGGATGTCTAAAGTCAGATGCTAACCTCTCTCACTTTTCGATAGTTCGATTTTATTGAAGTCATTAGACAATAACACGGCCGGTTTCCAGTGCTTTGCGGCTTTAGTAACAAAATATTTTCTCTTACATCGCCACTACCTTTCGGCTTTAACCTCTAATTATAGAACCAGGATACCAGCATCTAGCTTATTGCCTATGTTTAACTTGTGATAAGCGATATTGAAACTATGCGGTGTGGTTGACTTGTGTTAGTCCTTGCCTTGAGTTTTAGTTGGGAGTGATCGGTAAGTTAATCATGGATCATCACTCACATTGTGTCAGCTCGCGCAATCATCCCTGCACTGCTGACACCGATAGTTTGATCAAGAGTGAAATCATGATTCACGGATTTTAGATTGATTTTTTTTTTAAGGTTGTGAAATGATGTGGTATCGAGGAGATGATTCTTGTGGAATCAATTATTGGTAAGGGTGTCTTTTTTTAAAAAAAGTACGCGTTACTGTTGCTAGATTTTTATGTGTGACTCCACCAACATACTAACATCTTAGGGGTTTATTATTATTCTTTCTCGCGGATTGAACTTATCGAGGTATGTATGCTGAACAAAGGAATCTGGACTTACGGCTTTCGATACCACGAGATGGTAATGATATCCGATATCATAATCACAATTTTGCAACACTCACCAGGAACGTATGCTATAAGTGATTGACCAATAAGAAAACCCTTTTTTCATAAACATACAATAAACAACCAAGCCCAACAAAGGAAATTACACCCAATCATTTTTAAATAATTCTACAACTTCGCACTCGCCGGCTCACCAGCCCACGCCCTCCTAATAACCTCCCTAATCTCTGCCCTCTCGATCTTCCTCGGGTTTGGGTACGGCTTCGCTACCGCCAGGTCGGCCGCCTTATCCACATCCTCTTCCTTCATACCGTACGTCTTCAGCGCCCTCTCCACGCCCATCTTCTCCAACAACAAGTTCAATCCCTTGACTGCATCGCCCTCACTTCCCGGCAGTACTGCCGCCAGTGAGTCCAGCACCTCCTTCGTCAGCGCCGGCGCGTTGTACGCCAGGGCATGCGGCAGCACAATGGTGTGCACCTCCGCATGCGGGAGGTTAAAGCTTCCTCCCAGGGTGTGGCACAGCTTGTGGTGTAGCGCCATCCCAACACTTCCCAGGCAGCTACCACACAACCAGGCGCCATACAGCGCGTCAGAGCGCACATCAACGTTCTGTGGGTCCTTCTTCAGCTTCGGCAGCGCAGCAGCAAGGGCGCGGATTCCCTCGAGGGCGAGGAGGTTGATGATTGGGTTTGTAGTTGTGCTGTAGAGGGCCTCGACGGAGTGCGCGATCGCATTGACACCGCTGGTGAAGCTCATGGAGACGGGCAGCGTGAGGGTTAGGTTTACATCATAGATGACGGTTCCAGGGAGGATCTTGGGGTCGGAGCGGGTGGTCTTGACGCCGTCGGCGGTCTCGCCGAGAATGGGGGTCATTTCGGAGCCCGCGTAGGTGGTGGGTATACAGATGTGGGGGAGGCCGGTGCGGATTGAGATGGCTTTTCCGAGACCGATGGTAGAGCCGCCGCCGATGGAGATGATAGAGTCTGCGGAGGTGTCGCGGGCGACGGCGAGGGCCTCGTCCGTGATGTGCGTGGGGGTATGCATGGTTGCCTTTGAGAAGGTTCCAGCGGTCAAGGGGAGGAGGGCAGCGACATCGGAGGCCTGGGAGGTCTGCTGTGGCGTACACAGGATGAGCGGGCTGGAGAGGTTCTGGCGGGCGAGCTCTGCGGGGAGCTGCGAGAGTGTGCCGGCGCCGAAGATGACGCGGGAGGGGTTGGCGGTGTAGGTGAAGGGATGCATTTTTGCGGTAGTGGAGAGCGTGCGGCGGAGGAGATTGTTGGTGTTTCTCGTGAGGATTGAGATCATGGAAGTGAAGATGACTGTGGGATTGCGGCGGGTTTTGTTGATGCTTGATGCTGACAGACGTGGTGGTTGACGTAGTTTCTGTCAAGCCCGCTTATATGTTTATCCGATGGGCCTGAATGCGGGGGATTTGGATCATTGGTCACTCTGTGGCCCTAATGGGAAGAGGATTACCAATAATCAGCAATCCCCATCGCTGTGAAATGCGGGGAGCCGGTGTTTTGGTGCAGATCTCGGTATTGCCGCGGTAATGATCCTGGTTGCGGTTGTTGGGTTGGGGTTGCGGTGGTATGAGATCTACACACCTTGAGGGAGAATTGACGGGTGATGAGATAAGATCTACGGCAGATGCGACACCTTATTACTATTCACAGTAGTGGTTTGTAAGTCGCTATGTCCGGTACCTCCATGTGAACGGTACGAGTGCTTTAGAGATTATGGTCGCTAATCGCTAATAACAAACAAGTATTCAAAATAGAGGAAATGAGATTCTAGAAATAACGTCGATAGTGTGGAAAAAATTGTATAGGGCTACTCATGCGTTTATTAAATGGTGTTCGGGGCTCTTAGTAGGGGTTTGGTTGCAACGATATCCGACTATTTAATGAACGCCCGAGTAAGTAGCACCATCAAAAACTAACACCAAATACCGCCAGTAATAATTATACAAATCACCCAATCGAGAACGCACCACTTACAAAATGTTTCACCTTAGCAAGAAACCCTAACCCACTATCCTACCAATCTTCATGGAGTGGCTGTGTTGAACAAAGTCTGGATCTCATTGGACTATGATTTACGGTTTATCTCTATGGTTGTGAGATTTGCCAATAGCCAGGATGGAGCTGTGCTGTGTTTAAGTGGACTGAGTATCCCGTCGGGAGAACCAATTAAATACTATCAACGCCGTCAGCGTCATCCGCAAAATCATATTTGGTAGGTAGGATTGCTGGTTGGGGGACTCCCGCATTTCTGCGAGTTGCACCAATCATGGCGAGTTTCATCAGGAGGGGCCTTAACTGGCTATTGTTCCCGCACTCTGTACCAATGGGGGACCGGAGGATTGCAATTCGCAGTTGGAGGATCTGCAGCTTATTATTGGCTTAATATTATCGATAAGTAAGAATTCTAATAGCGCTGCGACGTCTGAGTGGACGGCACAAACGGTGCACGTTGTCTACTGTACCGGGTACAGCTTAAACCATAATTTGGCAACACGCAGGCATCATCGACCAGTACTCTACATGAGATCCTTAAAACCGGGTCTGAACGTAGAGTGCAAGCATTATGATTGGATCCCTTCCACTGCAGCAACAGTTCACTGCAGTTAGGGAATCCGTCGTTTTATTGGTTTATTATTAGTGCACCGATCGATAACGTTGCGTCCAAGTGGACAAAACTGATCGTAACACCACGTTTTCTAGAGTACCGGGTACGGTACTCTACAGAAACCTTAATGTAACAACAACACCGGTATCAGCCAATACACGAGACCCCCAGAACCGGGTCGGACGCAGAGGGCGATTTTTTAATTGGACTCCTCCCACGTTTCTTCTGCAAGATAGATATGCACCTCCACGGGAGCCACAGACAATGCGGGACTGTAGAACTTTCACTGAGTGTTAAGAAAACCTTCTACCTTATTGGTTGACTCCCGGTATGCAAGTACCATGCGGCAATTACTAGTGAACCAATAGAGTCATTGAGTAGGATATGGCTGCGCCTATTTGAGTGGACGATCTAGATCGTAGAAGCACATTGTCCACTTTACCGGGTACTGGGTGTACAGCAACCTTAATTCAACAGCATTCAGGTATCGCCGGCCAATAAATGTTATTTCTCGCGTGGTAGTATGAGGGGGCAGTGCAATGATATTGATTGGGCCTCTCTCACCTGCACGTTTAATGGGCCCTTACCCACGTTTTGGCACTGCCTATCCAGTGATGCACCTAGTACTGGTAGTTAGGAAGGCTGTCATTTCTTTGGTTTATTATTGATTGGAAGGAAGGGTTTACTCACCAAAAGTGGATCAGTAGGCTATGTTGTCTAAACCACCAACCAAACTCCACCGGGCCAGAACTCCCACGTTTCTGCAAGAGACACGTCCCAACTCAAAGTCCACGACATGTCCCAACAGTGGGTGATCTCCCAATAGGCTCAGATTGAGACACCGCACATTTCCGTAAGACATGCATGATTGGCAAACCCGACAGCACCCACACCTCCTATGGGCAGTAGATGCATGTATACTCTACCAATCAATGGATAGAGCTGTATTTGTGGTGATGGGTGGGAAGGAAGCCTAACTCGCTATTACATTACAGTCGAATCTCCCTATAATGGTACAAAAGTGGCGCGAAGTTGTACCCTTATAGGCCGTGTACCCTTATACACAGGGTGAATTTGTGCCTACGAAGGCGATTATAGCCCGAGAACCCATACCCTTATCCCATGAACCATAGAAACCTGAGGTTCCAATTGGGTACTTTGCAACTCTAACCTCGATAAAAACACAAAAACGATATAATCTAGCCCTGTTCACTAATAACAAAGAAGCGGGAAAGATTATCACCCGATCCCAATAAGAGCTCCTAATATAGTACTCACGAAGCTGGTGTTGGAGTATGCTGGTGGTCCGATCTGCGTTTTCATTGGGCGTGAATGATTGGCCCATCCCATGGTAGAGTAAGTGATCCATGCGGCGAATGGTGGTAGAGTATTGGCCCTTGGTGGGTGGATCGTGGGGGTGTGGATAGAGAGGATGGAGGTGTGGGTGCTGTTGTAGCCTTGTGGGTTAGGGTTTGTGGATCATAACGTGCGGTGGCTAACCTATGGAGGGGTCCCCCGCTATTAGAACATGTCGTGAATTTTGAGTTGGAGCGCAGAAACGTGGGATCCGCTGGGTTGGGATTTACTGGTTCTGGCCCATGCACCTTGGTTGGTGGTGCAGACGGTAGACCTGCTTACATCACTGGTGCAGTATTTCGGCCAGTAGAGGACCTTAACCTACCCAGAAGGTGGTGTTACAAGTGGCCAGTAACAATTGGGGTGATAGGTGACGCGAGTCTGCAGCCTGATCGGTTTACCACCGATGTAGTGATGGTGGTTCACCAATAGAAGAGAACAAGGCGGCGTTCCAGTGGAAGGTTGATCGGTCACCGCGCACGTTTTCAACAAGGCCAGTAACCGCGAGACCTCCATGTGTCTGTGAGATCGATTACTTGCGAGACGTTTTACATGGGCCAGTAAGGAGGCCTACTGATCTGGTGGGGCGGTAAATACGATGACTCGCTCAAACCGCATCTGCAACCTTACTCCACTGGCTAACCACCGATGTGTAAATACTGGTAACGCCGGTGTGCCAATGGATATCGACAGAGAACAAGGCTCTGGAGTGGAGGCAACGACAAAGCTGCAGGCTACAGGCTGACGGAGGCTACCAAATCACCGGGCCAGTCGGGCTTCGGGGTGAGGTGTAATAACCTTAAAACAACGCTTTTGCACCTTTGCTGCGCCAGTAAGGAGTGTGCGAGGACAATGTTGCGTCCCAGTGGAGTGGAGACAGTTGTTGGGTTGCAGGTGTTAGTCACCATGCCGTTACCAGTGAAATCGAAAGGGAAAGTAATAATCATAATCCAACGTTTCTACACTTGCACAGGCCTGTAAGAAAGCCTAAGGTAGCGTACCGAACGGATACAAGGTTATTGGGCGCTTACCACGATATGCAGGTGGTAGCAGTGGTCCACCAGCCGTACTCCGGGACCAGCCTGGACACGGTGATGTGTCAGTCACCGCTGTTGCCAGTAAAATCGAGAGGAAAAGTGCAATAGTCCCAAACAGTTTCTGCACCTGCACGGATCTGTAAAAGGATGCAGGTCTAAAATATTTTTGGTTTACCACCGTTAGCTAATCCACAACCTGACGATTGGCACACAAAATTCATCACTAATTGGATCTTCCGCGTTCATGCAAGACATGAACTTTGCCTAGTGAGTGGCGCATGTAGACTAGAGTACCGACCAGTAGTTGACGACTCTCACTGTTGCAGAGTAGCAGCGGTAATGCACTGGCATTTCGGAGCCAATAGACGCAACAACCGCTACCGAATCCAGAATAAAGCTTAATCGAGCTGATAGTAGCGCATCCAACCAATATTGGCTCTCACCCATTGGCCAGCTGGATCCCCTCATATGTTTCACAAACCCTAACCTTAACCTATTTCATGGATTATCACTCGCACTGCTATGTTACGGATGCAGTAGTTTATTTGAATTTGGGGGTGGGTGTGGTATAGCGGGTGGTAATCTGGCAACAGAAAACCTCGAAAGGTTTATCGATGTACAGCGCCCAATTGCGCCCCCACCAGCCGAGCAAGGCAGTGGTCTGAGAACCCTAACCCACCTTCTCTCCACGAGAGTAATTGGACGGTGCATGTGTGGCCTTGAGTATTTCGGCTTTATTATAGGACATTTGTCTATGCTTATTATTAGTGGGGATGGATAGTACGTGACTAATGCCTAAGCAACGTGGTTTATATTTCACAATGTGGTTTGGCAAACAACCACTCCCCAACGGTCGAACCTCTCTTCTTCTCAAGTTAGTTCATCCACTCCAATTTACTGATCCTACTAAGTACACAGGGTTCGTGGCAAAAAGAAAACTTTTGATATCATTTATCGTCTGGGGTACATTACTAGTACATCTAAGAAACATACACATATTTACAACAAAAACCAACGCCATATAACATAATAACCAAAACCCAAACTTCCTCTAGATCTCAATCTCCTTCAACGAATCACTGACCGCAAACGCTGCCCCAGTCTTGCTCTTGAGCTCGTCGACCGTCACGCCCTTGGCGATCTCGATGAGGGTGAGCCCGCTGGTGAAGGAGACGTCGAAGACTGCCAGGTCTGTGATAATGCGAGAGACGCACTGCTTGCCGGTCAAGGGGAATTGGCATTCTAAGTCCTAGTTAGTATCTTTCTTCTTCTATGTTTGGAGCTAGAGGGTCAATTACCTTCGAGGATCTTTGGCCTGCCCTTCTTATCAACGTGCTCCATCAGGACAACGACCCTTGTGGCCGCTGGGTTCGCGACCAGGTCCATAGCTCCTCCCATACCCTTTATCTTACCGGGCAGCCCCCAGTTGGCCAGATCACCCTTCGCCGACACCTGCAGGGCGCCGAGCATAGTCAAGCCCATGCGGCCCGCTCTAATCATACCGAACGACTCCTCACTGCCAAACGTCGACGCTCCCGGGTTGAGCGTGACAGTCTCCTTACCCGCATTGATGAGATCCGGGTCGGCCTGCTCCCTCGTGGGGTAAGGGCCCATGCCAAGCAGTCCGTTCTCAGACTGCAAGTGGACATGCACGCCCTCAGGCAAGAAACTGGGCGCCAGTGTCGGCATACCAATACCGAGATTGACGACATCCCCATCCTGGAACTCCTGCGCCGCCCTGCGGACAATGGTCTCCCGCTTCTTCGCCGCCTCGCCGCCGCCGCTCTTCATCGCCTTCTCGATATCCTCCGGTGTCTTGGCCAGAGTCAGAAGCTCAATGTTCTTTGGCGTGGTGCTCTGCACAACCTGCTTCACGTACACGCCCGGCACGTGGATATCGTCAGGGTGGATCTCCCCCGGCTGCACAATGTTCTCTGCCTCCACAACCGTGTGCTTCGCCGCGCGCGCCATCGCAGCATTAAAGTTCCTTGCCGACAATCGGAAGCGGATGTTCCCCAAGGTATCCACAGTGTGTGCCTTGATGAACGCCACATCGCCCACGATCGCCTCCTCGAGGATAAACTTCCGTCCGCCAAACTCGCGCACCTCGCGCGGCTTACTCGTGAGCTCGACCTCGCCGCTGCCGTCCTTCTTGTAGCGCACCGGCAGCTTGCCCTCCTCGATCCACGTACCGACACCGGCAGGCGTGTAGAATGCGGGGACGCCGGCACCGGCGGCGGCGAGACGGCCTGCAATGTTGCCTTGGGGCGTCAGCTCGACGTCGAGGCTGCCGTCGAGATACATCTTTTCGAAGATCTTGTTGGAGCCGATGTAGGAGGCAATCATCTTGCTGACCTGCTTGGACTCGAGCAGCTGTGACAGCCCGTGGCCGGGCGTGCCAGCGTTGTTGGACACGGCTGTCAGGGAGCGGATTGTGGGCGTGGCAAGGACCTGGCCGATTAGGGTGTCTAGATACCGCTCAATTAGCCCAAAATCCTAATCGTTGACCCACTCGCAACAGGGAGAACTCATGAAGACTTACCGGGAACCCCGCAAACACCGAAACCACCGCAGAGCAGCGTGTCGCCGGATTTCAGGCTCGAGATGGCTTCCGCCGCTGAGACGACTTTGGACTTGTACTCCTGCGCCAGGCGGCTACGCACCGAGAAGCAGCGCTGCTGGGGGCGCAGCGCGCGGAGGGAGCGGAGGCGGGTGGTTGCCATTATCGCAAACTATCAATTATGAAATGTCGAAAAAGGGATCGAAAAAAAGAAATGCAATTGCAATACCACCGATGGAGAGCAGTCAGGTAGGAATACAAGAATCCAGGTAAAAGAGCAGAATAGAGAAGGAGAAGAAGCTTTTGTAGCGCATACCCCCCCCCCCCCCGGGTCCCCCGGCTCTCCCGGGCATGGGACAGTTGGCACCTAGCAGCAGCGGCTGTCACGTAAGGATTAGTGATGGGTTAGTGATGGTTAGTGATAGGTTTCGCAGTTGTCTTCACGGTTCTTGTGCACGTGATGATAGCGGGTGAATGTTTATCCGTGGTTCTTATCGGTGGTTACAGTGCCGATAGTCCGCGGCGGGGTTTGGGTTTGGGTTGGGGTTTGCGGGGAATCTGGGCGGGGGTGTGAAGTGTGTGATGATAGGTGGGTGTTTTTACGATGGGGCAGTCGTTTCGGATTGCTTTCACAGATGATGATGGTAATGGTAATGATTGGAGTGTTTGGAGTGTTCGTAGATGGAAATCAATTTCTATAGCGTACGTGGTAGGTATTCCAGCACCCAAAAAGCACACACACACAGAGCATACAAGAGAGATATACAAATTTTAAACCACCCTTCATCCCCTTCCTACCCCCCATCCCTTCCCCTCCCTCATCCCCACCGGCATCTACGCCTCCTACGCCACCTTCTCCGCCGCCGCCGCCGCAGCAGCCTCCTTCTCCTCCTTCTCCTTCTCCTTCAACAAACAAAACCCCACCGCCGCCGTATACCCATACGTCCCCAGCCCCACCACCGTCGCAACAGCCTTATCCGAGAAATACGAATGGTGCCTGAACGACTCGCGCGCATGCACATTGCTCACATGCACCTCGATAAACGGGATGTTGACGCCAATGAGCGCGTCGCGGATTGCGACGGAGGTGTGCGTGTAGGCGCCCGGGTTGATGATGATCCAAGAGACCTTCTCGTCGCGCGCAGCGTGGATGCGGTCGACTATGCCGCCTTCGTGGTTGGATTGGTAGCTTGCTAGGGAGGCGCCGGAGGCGGCGGCTTGCGTGGCGGCGAGGGATTCGACGTCGGAGAGGGTGGTGTAGCCGTAGATGTGGGGTTCGCGGGTGCCGAGGAGGTTGAGGTTGGGGCCGTTGATGAGGAGGAGTTTGGGTGCCATTGTGTGTTTGGTCGTTGTGGGTGTAGAGAGTGGGTTGGGTTGGGGGGGAGTGTGTGGTGAGGTTGGGGTTGAGGTTGGGGGAGAGTGGTAATGATGGTGATGGTGGTTTGTGGTGGTGATGTTGTGGTGGGCCAATCGATAGATAGAATGTAGATACGGCCACTTTAGTACTGCCACTTTCTCGGGAGTCTCGGCGGTCCGGTACTGACTCCAAGTAGCCAACAACAACAATATTGAACACAAATACCGAACGGCTACTATCATTTACCGCCTAATAGCCGTAATGCTTGTAGCAATAGTAATAATAGCCCTACCGTTAATTCCTGAATAATCCACTATCCCCGTATTCGTATCTGGTAAGTCCGATCGCGAACCAAGGCGAATTGGCGTATCAAAATTCACGGATTCGTGCAGATACACACTTTTTCCAACCCGGAATTAATATTTAACGAAGTGGGGATAGTGGATTATTCGAGAATTAACGATAGTGTTTCATAGTAAAAAATCATTGGCAGTATAGGTGGTACTTACCATCCTTTACCCTTACCTTACCCTCAACGAAAAGATAAAAAAAATAAAAATAAAAAATGATCAATGACCCCTCAGATTGTAATCATGATGCCTCCTCCATTTTCCCGCGAAATAAGCTCGGCATGTAGTGCGGTGCGTGTGTTGCGTTGCGTATCCGGGGGTGTCACGTAGTGGATGCTGCTGGGTGGTTGTGGTGGGTGGGTGGTGGCAAGCACGAATCGATCATTTCCTCCCGTCTAAACGTTCTTCCGACAGCTAGCTAGCTCGCGCAGCAACCAAAATCCCCACAACTCGTGTAGTAGCCTGCTTTGTAAATAAGTCCTAGTAGATGCTGCGCTCTGCTAGCTAGTACGGTCAGCTACCCGCTCCCCCCCCCCTCTATTCCCCCCCCCCCACCCCCCGGTCCCCAAAGAGTACAAAAACACGGTCAGGACCAGACAGTTTGGAAAATAAAATTCATCTCATCTCATCTCATCTCATCTCATCTCATTGTAAACCTCCATTTCACCACTCACCCACTCACATACTATCACTCACTCCTCCTCCTCCTCCTCCTCACCACCCCCCCCCCAAAAAAAAAAAGTCAAAAGACCAAAAAAAGAACAGAAACAGCCACAATGCTGCCCCCAACCTACACCACCCCCACAAAGCTCGTCGATGCCCTCCCTCTCGGCATCGCCTCCATGAACCTCGGCCGTGCCGCCTTCCACGAGCTCGAGCCCAAGCTCTCCGCCGCCGCCGCCGCCGGCTTCAAGGGTGTCGAGGTCTTCTACGAAGACATCAAGATCCCCGCTCGCCGCGCCCTCGCCGCCGCCCCACCCGGCACAACAACATTCCAGGAGCAGCTCGTCATCTCCGCGCAGAACTTCCGCGACTTGTGTGACAAGTATGGCTTGACCATCTTTGTGTTCCAGCCGTTCAAGAACTACGACGGGCTGCTGTCGCAGCAGCGCCACGATGAGAAGATTGAGAAGCTCAAGCACTGGTTTAAGCTAGCGAAGATACTAAGGACGGACACGATCCAGATTCCGTCGATGTTCCACCAGGACCCCACCGTGGCCACGGGGGATATGGATAAGATTGTGGCGGACCTGGTGGAGGTGGCGGATTTGGGCGCGAAGGAGAATCCGCCGATTAGGTTTGCGTATGAGATTATGGCGTGGGGCGCGCATGTCGACCGGTGGCAGCAGGCGTGGAAGATCACGCAGGCGGTCAACCGCGATAACTTTGGAATGTGTCTGGACACGTACCAGATTCTGGCCAACATCTGGGCCGACTGTACGTCGGAGAGCGGGGTGCTGCCGAATGCGGATAAGATCTTGCAGGCGGATATTGACGAGTTTTTGCGCGAGGTGCCGCTCGAGAAGGTGTACTATGTGCAGCTCGCGGATGCGGCAAAGATGTCGCCGCCGCTGTCGGCGAACCATGAGTGGTATGATCCCAAGCAGAAGTGGGTCATGACTTGGTCGAGGAACGCGAGGTTGTTCCCGTTCGAGGAGGATAGGGGCGGGTATCTCCCTGTTTTGAAGATGCTCGAGATGTGGATCTTTGATTGGGGATATAGGGGGTGGGTTTCGATGGAGCTGTTCAACAGGAGCATGATGGACCCGTCGCCGTCGGTGCCAAAGGACCATGCTGAGCGTGGGGTGGCATCGTGGAATAAGTGTGTCAAGGCGTTGAAGCTGGATGAGAGGGATGCGTAGAGCGTTTTTATTTCCTCTTTTGGTTTTTGTAGGTTCTCTCTCTTCGTGTAAAAGGTTTTTTTCTGTTTCAGTTTTTGTATTTGGGTTTTTCTCTTTGGTTGTACTTTTTCGGGAGCTAGAAATATAACATTCTTGGGCTTTTTAAAAATTCGGATCCGGCCATGGCTGCCCATATTGTGATCTCTGCTGTGCATAAATTAACCGCTGCCTATAGCTAGCTAGCTGTGTAAGTGAAATAGCCAATTCTTGATCATCCGATATCACGAAATCTGCATAAATCAGTTGATGCCTGTGCACGACGTAAGACAGTCAATTCATATTTTGACATAATTTTATCCACACGAGAGCGAGTGGGGATGACGGGCGGAGATGAGGGGTAGTTATGTTCCACGAGTACATGTAATGTTCCACGAGTACATGTAATGTTGAGCGACACTACACCAGATGGAAACCCGAGTGATAATGCATGACCAAATATCCAGCTATGCCAGACATAGTGTTGAGCACGAGCCTGTTCGAGACGAGCCTGACTTCGAGCTCGAGTTGGCTCTGATTGTACGAACGAAGGCCCGACCTCTGATTAAAAGAGCTAAAAATAGTCATCTCAGTATACTTTTCACTTTTAAGGATGGACTCAAGGGGTTTATCTTCGTTATCTTGTCCAATCTTTGCCATTACTGATGGCCCACAAAGCTCGAGCTGACTTGCACTCGTGAGAAAGAGAGCTTGAGATGTTCGAGCCAGCTCGGCTCCTGCCCAACACTAGCTAGATAGCTTTCGTAGGATGATGGACCTTCTAGAAATAGCAGTAGATGGATGAATCGAAGAATTTGTAGATGGGAGGGCTGACTGATGATGAAAGAAGGAGAGGAATAGAATAGCCCGTGGGTGAGCAGTGCCGGGTGATATATACATAGCCATAGCTACTTACTGTTTCGGCGCACGTACCTGCCTGGCCGACAAACATGACGTGTTTGATGGAATCATGCCACGCCTCACGCCAGACACAGACACAGACACAGACACAGACACAGACACAGACACAGACACAGACACAGACACAGACACACCGGAAGAAGAGGAAATGCGGGCGGTGGACAGACAACATCCAATTAAGGATAGACGGGTTAGGCGATACTTGTGGAAAGAACACTCAGCGCTGCACAAGTAGAACAGATATATATACCAGACGAGCTAGTATATCTTCGCAGTTGGGGGCCTCTTCCTCTTTCATTACTCATCCTCCATCGTTATTCTATCTGAATCTATCATCAATCATCACTCTATCATCAATCGAGTCATCTACAATCATCACTCTAGTATCATCAATCAAGTCATCTATCTACATTACATTAAGGTGACTTTTATTAGGTGTTGGGCATCAGCCATGATCGACCGCTAGCTCTCTCATATTCAATCCCATCCAACGTCTCTCTCCTACCATCTCTCGTCTTAATGAACTTCCTACTATTTCTGTGGTGGACACTCTCGTAGCAGAGTTTATCGCCTGGTTCTAATTCCGCTATGTACCTACATCGCTTCATTTCGAACTTCACGAGCTAACGGCATAATCACAGTTCACATTCATCAACCAAGTAACCAAAAAATCATAAACTTCATTTTTTCAACTATACAACCACAAGCACCACCAACATCACCATCTATTTATTGATAATCGTACTCGCGTCCGCGGCCTTCCTCAGCGCCTCCCACGCCTTATCGTACGGAATATTCTTCGCCGCCTCCGCGCCCGCCCACAGCGTGTACTGCCTCTCCAACTGCCACCCAATGATATTGATCCCCTCCACCGTCTTCCACCCCTGTTCCCCGGCTGCCTTCAACAGCCTTGTCTTCCTGGGATTAAAGCACATATCCAAAAACACGCCCCTCCCCTCCTCTGGCGTCTTCTCAAATACATATTTAACAATCTTCGACGCCTCGATCTCGCTCTCCGTCTGTGGCTCGAAATCAGGCACTGTGCCCACCACATACGCTGGCAGCTCTTCCGCCGCGATTGACTCAATCTGCGACAGTGACTTTACATGCACAATTGTTGGCCCAGCCTCACCGTATGCCTGCGCGTCGCTCTGTAGGTCGGCGACTTCCTGGTCGTCGCGGTTGATGACATAGATTGTCGCACACTTGAGATGCGCAAACAGCGCATACACGGCCGCCCTACTCGCTCCGCCGGCACCAATCACCATTGCGGGCTTACCCACGCCCTTCTCCGATGCCGTGCGCAGACACTCGAGGATGCCGATCCAGTCGGTGTTTGAGCCCACGAGCTTGCCGTCGCCGTCGATGTAGACGTTGTTGCATGAGCCAAGTGTCGTGCAGAGCTCGTCGAGACGGTCGAGGTGCGGCATTATGGTCTTCTTGTAGGGCATTGTGACGACGCCGGCGGCGAAGTCGGGTTGGCGGAAGACGGACATGAGCTCTTCGACAGAGGGGATGTCGAGGAGCTTGAAAGTCCAGGGAAGGCCGAGGGCGTCGGCCACGGTCTGGTGGACGGTGGGGGCAATGGAGTGGCGGACACCCTGGCCGGCCAGGTAGTAGAATCTTTGACTTGGGGTAGTCATTTTTGGTTGCGGGATGAAGATATGGAGATGAGTATGGGATGTGGGTTTTGGAACGCGGGGATCGTGATGTAGAGTGTGTTTTGGTGTAGAAGAGGCGAGTATAAATGCTATTGGAATGAGTCAAAAGCGGTCTCTAGAAGTTAAGAGACACGCCGACAACACCGAGATTTTCATCAGATGAAATAACACTGAACGAAAACGTGCCGACCGGTAACTTGGTTTCCATCCAGACCCATTAGGCTCAATGTTCTCTACTGCTGATCTACTGTGGTAGGACCGACTAATGACATGAAAATGTAGAATCAATTGCTACGATATAATATTTAGAATACTCAAAATGAAAACAACTATTTGCTGACTACTATCTAGCTGACTACTACAATATATATAAAATTTAAGCTCAAGCCATAATATCCCCACATATCGCCAAACTCCCCGAATGCAACTCCCCCATATTCCACTAACCCAATTTCCTCGTTCCTCGTTGGCATCTCCTCGTTAGCATTTCTCCAAGCCCTTTTCCCCATCTCCGGATCCCCCACGCGTGAGACGTTGACGTTCCCCAGGTTTCCCCACGAAAACTGGATAAGCACTTACCCGCTTGCGCCCCTATCCTTCCCACGGGCCGAGGATAATGATAAACCCTCTCCTTTTTCTTTTTCCTCCCCCGGTCCCATGCCGCCTCCACGTCGCTCTGCGGGGAGCCGAGCTGGGGATCAATAATCACACGCCCACCCTCCCTCCTCCATACTCTACACCTGCCCCCATGCCCATCCTCCCATCCCGCCTCCAGGTCACAGGGCGCACTCCGACCAACTAAACCAACTAACTGACCGATCTCACACCCTCGCTAACGGCTAAACGAGCGCCGGGGAAAAAAAAACTAATTCCTCCACAAGCCATACAAGACCCGAGCGCCGGAAGAGCACTTATGCGCTCCAAGACAATCATTACCACATTCGGGCGCGATTAGTAGCTTTGGTTACTTTTCCTTGTGTAGGGGAGTTCCGGCACTGTGGCAGGTGCAGGGTTAGGGTTGCGCCGGACGAGATGACGAGGGTGACTGGAGGTGAGGGCACGATGATGTTGTGAGGTGGTTTATATACTGTACCCCCGTAGGGGAATAGGGGAGGCTTGTGGTGTTAGCAGTCTTTGTCGTTGTTTTTAATACCGAGAAGAAAGGAAGAGAAGAGGGCTTGTTTGAGGAGCTTAAGAGAATCCAGCTAGTTCCTGAACGTAAAAATATCCCCACGGGAATAGTGACAGCGCTATTCTATCGATAGCATCATTATCAGCTCACTCTTGCACTCACTCTACTGCACCATTCCACATCCACCATTCTACTCGACTCCACCTACCTCCACAACCACAGCAACCTAACCACCAACCCGCCAACCCACCAACCCAATCCATCACCGCACACCACCGCAAACATCCCCCCACCACCACCACAATGATATCCAAACTCACCCTCCCAACCACCGACCTCATCACCGCGCACCACGCCGCCGGCAAAAAGACTTACATCCTCCCACTCACGCACCCCAGCATCACCACGCTCCTCCCGCTCATCCCGCACCTCTCCTACCACACCGACGTCTTCGAGCTGCGCGTCGACCTGCTCTGCGACCCCGCCTCTCCCACCTCCCCGCCGTCATGCAGCTATCTCAAGAGCCAGCTCTCGCTGCTGCAGCAGGCCACGGAGCTGCCGATCATGTTCACGATCCGCACCGTCAGCCAGGGCGGGAAGTGGCCGGACAGCGCGCACGAGGCGGCGCTGGAGGCGATGTTGATAGCCGTGAGGGAGGGGTGTGCGTATGTGGATGTTGAGATTGAATGGCCGCAGGAAATGATTGATGTCATGGTGAGGGAGAAGGGCGGGAGCAAGATTGTGGGGAGCTTTCATGATTGGACGGGGGACATCCCGTGGGGGAGCGAGGTGCTGAGGGAGAAGTTTGAGAGGGCTGATAGCTTTGGTGGTGAGTTTATGCTCTTTTTTCGCCTTTTTCTTTTTATGTGTGTGTTTGTATTTTGTTGACGGGGAGGCAGCGCGGGGGGGAGGCGCGGAAAGCGGGGGAGGGAGAGGTAATTGGAAATGATCGCTGACGCAGGAAATATGACCGCAGATATTCCAAAACTTAGCATCATGGCAACGAGTATCTACGACGCCTACGAGCAAGCGCTGTTCCTCCGCGCGCACGCCGACCACCCAAAGCCTATCCTCGCCGTCGCCATGGGCGCCGCAGGCCAGCTCTCGCGCGCGCTGGCCCCAATCAGCATGATCACAAACTCGCTCATCCCATCGTCCGCGCCTGGCCAGCTCACGCTCGCGCAGGTGCACACAACGATGCACCTCGCGGGCCTACTTCCAAAGCGCAACTTTTTCATTTTCGGCAACAACATCGCGCACTCGCTCTCGCCGGCGCTGCACAACACCGGCTTCGCGGAGCTGGGGCTGCCGCACCACTACTCGATCCACGAGACGGCGAGCGTCGACGACGAGATTGCGGGCATGATGCGCGAGGAGACGTTTGGCGGCGCGTCCGTCACGTTCCCGCATAAGCTGCAGATCGGGAAGTATATGCAGAAGACGTCCGAGTCGGCGAGGCTGGTGGGCGCGGTCAATACGGTTGTGGTCGAGACGGACCCGAAGACGGGCGAGAGGGTCTTGTTGGGTGATAATACGGACTGGCTCGGGATCAAGTCGTGCATCGAGGCCAACTGGCCGACGCCCGGCGGGGTGTCTACGGCCGCGGCGGTCGTCCTGGGCGCCGGCGGGGCGGCGCGGGCGGCGTGCTATGCCGTGCAGCAGTTGGGTGTGCGCAAGGTCTACCTGATCAACCGCACGCGGAGCAAGTCCGATGAGCTCGCGGCGGACTTTCCCGCACTAGAGTTTGAGCACTATCTGGCAATGTCCGACTTCCCGGCGGAGGTGTCGCCGGTGCCGAATATTTTGGTGGGGTGCGTGCCCGCCGATGATTTTGTAGAGACGGATATCCCAGCGCAGTTCTTTTCGCTGGCGGCGGAGGGGGGTGTTCTGGTCGAGATGGCATATAGGCCGTTGGTGACGGCGCTGATGAAGGTTGCGGGCCAGTTTAGCGGGTGGAAGACAAGCCGTGGGACGGATGTGTTGAAGAAGCAGGCGTATCACCAGTTTAGAATGTGGACCGGGAGACAGGCACCTTCGGCGGTGATGAGTGCGGCGGTGGATGCGGTGCTGGCGAAGAAGTGAACGGATTTTGTATCCCATGTCGCTTTTCTTTTCTGTTTTCAATTTTTTTTTCTTTGGTTTTATCGGGTTTGAGAAAGGATTGTAGGTAGACTTTTTTTATTATTTTTTTATTTATATCCAGATACCTAGAGGCAGTGGTCAGTAGAGATTTGACAATAAGTAGAGTCCAAAACGTACTTCGTGATAAGTATGTGCCTGACCGGTTGCATGCAATTAATGAATTAAACAAAAAAAAAAAAATGTGCCTGACCGGGCGAGTGCATTGCAAACCGAGTGATAATCCTGTGATGACAGCGAAATCTCAGCCACACGATGCATAATAAGAAAATAAATAATAATATATTTTATTCTCCTTCCACGTGGCCACGATGCTGGGTCAGCTTGTGTCACCTTCAAAATATGACAATGTCAACGATCTCAAACCTTCTTTTCACAAAGAAAAAAACAGTGTCAAGCCAGCCTCCTGTCTACAGCATCACGTAAAACGTCACGATCAGGGCACAGCAGCATTAGAAACACCAAGGGCAGGCCCACAGAGGCACATACATACCTTATCATGGAACCCTAACCTTTCACAGAGTACATACTGCATATCAGTCATTACCGATACCACGTTTCTAGGGGCAGTACGAACAGCATTGTCCCCAGGACTGAGAAGTTCATTTCCCGGTAGAGGATATACCCCGACGCGTTTTTTTCTGGGCAAAAGCTTGAGTTCACTTTTCCTCTGAATCCATTGGGTAGTAGTAGTGTATGGATAGATATAGAAGACACAACCGTTACGAGTTGTGTATAGACAATGCTTATTAGACGATGAAAAATCTAGTAACTGCTTCATCCAGCAGTAGAAACGATTTCTACTTTGGTTATATTAATCGCGCTCCCCGTTGTCGTGCTGCTCAGTAGAGTAGATGTACTGGTGAGTCGAGTTATTGCAGGAATGGCACCACCACGAAAACCTAATGGCATGATCTATGGCATGACATGATTTCTTTCTCCGCCGTTGAAGAATTTAAAACTACCAAGAAGCCCCCAACCTTTTTTTCTCTTTTCTGAACGGACGGAAAAATATGGCCAGAGTTACTCAAGAGACTCTCTCTGGATTTTCCTTGATATATCCGAGGTCTAATTTGTCGTTCTCGCCTTTTGCTTTGCTTCGGTCTTCATGTCTTGTCCAGAGTTGCCTTGGTTATTACCACACTGTAATTGCTCGCAAGAAATGTTATTTCCGTCTTAACGCCTCTATCCCACCCTCTCTATCTCGCACCAAGATGGTTATTCAACGGGAAAAGATAACTCCTATGCTCTCCATCGAATCCGGAATCGATTATTAGAAATCATGAAACAATTGGTTTCTTCAACCGGCTTAATTCAATCGCCCTTGCGGAAAAAGCACAACCGTCCTTGCCATTTCATGATCATGGCCCAAAAAGAAAGTATCCCTTTCAGTTTGGTCGCATCTTGCCGTACAGGGGTGGTGTGTGGCAGCACCCATAACGTGTGCAGCAAGACAGGGTCATCCATCACCCACACCCATGGAAGATATCTCGGTCTCTTGTGCGGTCTACCCATCCACAACCTCAGGTCACAAACGATATCGCCAAAAACGGGTAAAGCCCTAATCGAGGCCGCAATCTGCCAGCCCAGAACCGACTTTAGAGCACATGGTTACATGAAGGTAAGACTTGTGTCGCCTCTCACACACACCCCAGCCTTGTTTGCAGAACTGCCGCCAATTTGTATGATGGAGATCTTGGCCATTTCCCCGCATAATGTCCTATCCGGGCCTCCTTTCCCCGGACCAGGGCTGGTTTTCCCCACAACGCCCAGCGTGAGCGTCAAGTGGTGGCCACCAAAGGGCTGGTCGGTATGGTGTTGCGCAGCACCCTATTCGGCTACCCGCGGTGGGGTTAGTGTTCTCCCCGACAAAATAAGTTGCTAGCACAGTAGGTTAGTGGTGAAAAACGTCCAAGTGTCCGGCCGTATATATTACTCCCATCATTTCCCTTCTTCCGCAACCTCATCATTCCTCCCAACAATCATCACTCAGTCCTGACTTCACTGTTACAGTCCAGTCATCACTCCCTGATAACTGTTGGAATCGAATCTTCATCCCTTTCTTCAGTTTTAATAGCACCAGTTCGCCCAATATGCGTAACCCATTCGCCTTGAAGGACGACTCCGCCAACCCGGCCCCTCCAGAGGTCTACAACTGGAGGATCTATGCTCTCGCGGTTTCAGCAGCTATGGGTTCTGCCATGTTTGGTTATGATTCCGCCTTCATTGGTGGGACCATGTCTCTTCCATCTTTCCAGTCCCGCTTCGGTTTGGCTGAGGCAACCGGTGACGAACTTGCCACTTTGAAAGCAAACATCGTGTCTACTTTCCAGGCTGGATGTTTCTTTGGCGCAATTGCTTGTTACGCAGTGACCGAGAAGTTCGGAAGAAAAAACACTTTGATGCCTTGCGGTGTTCTTTTCTGTATTGGCGCTATCTTGCAATTGGTTTCGGATGGTCATCTTGGTTTGATTTATGCTGGTCGTGCGCTTACTGGTATGTGTACCCCTAGTCCGCATCTTGATTCTTGGCATTTTGATCACTACTGACGTTTCTCAGGTATTGCTGTCGGCGCTTCTTCGCTCTTGGTCCCCATCTACATTTCCGAATGTTCTCCTCCCGCTATCCGTGGACGTTTGATTGGTATCTTTGAAATCTTACTTCAATTGGCTCTCGTCGTCGGTTTCTGGGTCAACTACGGAGTTTCCATCCATGAGGATAACGATTCTGACCGCCAATGGCACGTTCCTTTCGCCGTACAGCTCGTTCCCGGTTCTCTCCTCGTCATTCTTATGTGGTTCCAGCCCGAATCTCCAAGATGGCTCATCAAGGCCGGTAAGACCGAGCTGGCGATCAAGAACCTCTGCACCATCCGTGGCCTCCCCGCCGATCACCAGTACATCGTCTGGGAAGTCGACACGGTCAACCAGCAGATTGAGCACGAGAACGCCCTTGGTGCCAACAGATCTTTTATCTCAAAGTTGAAGGAGACTTTCCTCCCCGGCAACCGCAACCGTCTCCTCATCGGAATGGCCCTCATGATGTTCCAGAACTTGTCCGGTATCAACGCGCTCAACTACTACTCTCCCACCATCTTCAAGAGCATTGGATTCTCTGGAACCAGTGTTGGACTTCTTGCTACTGGTGTTTTCGGTATTGTCAAGGCTCTTGCTACCATCCTCTTCATGTTCTTCGGTGTTGATGTCTTGGGACGTCGCAAGTCACTGCTTTACGGATCTGTTGGTGCTCTCATTGCGATGTTCTACCTTGCTGGTTTCTCCAAGCTCTCCGGATCCTTCGAGGGTGTTGCCCAGCGTGACGCCGGTGCTTACGTTGCCATTGTCATGATCTACATATTTGCCATCTTCTACGCTCTTTCATGGAACGGTATCCCGTGGATTTTCTGGTATGCCCCCATCTCTTTCCAATATTCATTTCTAAGCTATCATACTAACATTCCCTGTTTCTTTTTAGCGCTGAGGTCTTCCCCACCGGTATCCGTTCAGTCTGCCTTGTCTTCACCACCTGCACCCAGTGGCTCGGTCAGTTCATCATTGTGTACTCCACCCCGTACATGATGAACAACATCACCTACGGCACTTTCCTTTTCTTCGGCTGCTCTCTCGTCTGCGGTATGATCTTTGCATGGTGCTTCCTCCCTGAGACCAAGGGTCTCTCACTCGAGGACATGGATATCATGTTCAACCTCAAGGGTCTTGCTACCCACCTCCGCCCAGAGACCGACCGCATCATTGCCATCAACCGCGAGGATCTTCGCACCGGTGAGGTCTCGGATGGAAGCATTGAGAAGCAAGGTTCTAAGCATGTGGAGGTGGTCTAAAGTGACATGTCTTTCTGGCTTTTGAGCAAGCGGATATAATGTGTTTGTCTGCTTGTTCTTGTACCTGCAATGGTCTTCGTGCTTCTTGTTTTTAGAAGATAAAAATTATCTTTTTTCTTTTATTGTAATTAAATATGCCATCTAGCTCTATGGCCTATGACCTATTCTTTGTCTTTGATGATGATGAGTTTTGTATTTATGTTGGTACGTGGGAATTTGGGTGGTCTGGCTTGGGGAGCGGGTTTTTCTTGGTGTTTCTATTATTCATGTTTGGAACGAAAACTTACTTGTATTCATCATGCCTACGGGGTTTGTAGAAATTCTATGCGACATTCTTCCTGGAAAAACCTTTTTTTGGTCCGCCTATTTTGACTCATCGGAGACTAAGAAAAAAAAAATCCCTTCATCCCTCTAAAGCAATAGTAGCAAAGCTAGGCTTAGCGCATCGGCGGAGCTCTGCACACCGTAAAGCTGGGCAGGAACCCGCAGGAACCAGCCCAACCAAGCTTCAAGGATCTGTAGGAACCCACACCAATTAGAGCTAACAGTCTAGGGTTCTCGGATCTTGTTTTCGCACAAACGATACCAGATCCACATGAGTAAGCCGACAACAACCATGTGGCCAGCCAGGCGTTGTCACACGACAAGAATAGGCGAAAAGCTTGGCTAGAAACAAATTTACCTCAGTCGGGTAGGTGTTGAAGGACTATTGGCCGCGTGGGCCGGAACATATGCCGAACGGAAGAACTCTCATGCTATTATGTGTGGTACATATTACAGGAGAATATCAGTATGAGTTTTAAGAGAGTATGTTTGATATGAAAATGCAGAATCTGGAGGGGTACATACATGCAGGTAGGTACGTACTCTATATGTACGCACACCGAAAAAAAAATTTGTATGTATGCAGCAGATCTGCAGAGATAATCATTTGATTCGGATTTTTCCCTATGATCCGGTGTGAAAAAGGGTTGGTTTGCAATACTTGTCTAAGATCCACGGCAGTATGTCTCCTGCTTCGTTAATTGCTTTACTTGCCGATATCTATAACAAAAATAAAGATCGACAACGGATGAAATCTCGATACCGACCTTCCTTGATGTCTTCCCTGTCGAGCGTAAAATAAGCCTTCTATCACTGCAGTCAAGAATAAAACAGACGGGATGAACCTGCACATCCGTTGGTGCCGAAACCAAAACTACGGTTTTTTTCCCTCTCTATTTTCCTCAGCACGATGATGCACATATGTCGATCTCATTGGTGAAAACGTCACCCCGGATCTTATTTTCTCCGTCTGTGCCTGCCGAGCTCCGTGAGATGCTAGGAGTGGCTCATTCATGTAGTGGCTGAGGTCATGAATGTCTTGGTTGTGGGTATTAGATTACCCGAGTGTTTCACGGCATACCCCGCATTATGGGAGTGAGCCCTGTCTCACATTGTGAATTTCAAATTCCAAGGTCCTTTCTTTGCCACTGCAATACCATTGGCCAGGGTCACAGAGTGGTCAATCGTGATCGTCTGTGATTTTTCCTCATTCCTACGACCGGCCGATCGCTCCCAGTTTCCCTAACCCATGACCCGATAAAATACAAACCTCTTCATGAAATCACTCGAATAGTCACTCGCTCATCGTTTCCTTAATATTGAAGTAGAAGTATTCCTATGTTGGATGCAACATCTCCTCTGGAAACACCTCCACACTGACGAGTGAGATCCTGTGATCGTCATTGGACGATAACTCCTCAGGCTCTTTGTACCTATCCGAAGCTGAATATTAGTGGGATAGAGTGACGAAATTGCTTTTCTCGCAGACTATAGCTGGTATTGTGCTTTTTCCCCATACTAGTAGTTTTTCCTCTGTGCCTCCTCTATGCTCGCCTTACCCTGGTTCATTTTGACACCAAACTTGTTTAAATGACTTGGTGATAATGAGTATTCCTCGGCCGAGAAAATCAATAAAGCTTGCGGGAATCCGAGTAATCTTTCAAAGAATTCATAGACTTCAGTTACATCAATTTTAGCCCACCCCTACCGGTTGAAAATCCTGATTGGCCATGATATCGCGTTGGTAGGCGAAAGGTCTAATAGAGTACTTCACGGCACTACTATTACCCTTATCTGGTCACATTGATCCTTTCAAGGGCCCTGAAGTAAACCGGATATGCCAAGTGGTATAGTGGCGGATTGATTTACGTGTAAGATGGTGGGCTCGAGTTGATGCCCCTGTAACATGAGTCCTTCCGTCATAATCGCCTGAGAAATCCGGTATAGTACCTTCGTTGCCACGTATTTTGGGGGGAAACACCTGGTTTACGGAAGTTAGCTCTCCTTTCGTTTTCATATTCACACCCGCCTTCAAGTTTTGTGTGCAAATACAGAAGGCCTAATGAGAGACATCGAGAAAGAAAAAAATCAGACCATGCATTTCAGAACACTCACGGACCCTGTACTGCCACATGGCCAGATCACAACTAACGAACTCGTGTATTGCACAGTTTTCATGTTACATAGGATTTTCCAACGATGTTCCACCTGTAAAGCAGATTATCTCGGTCGAGTAGGTACTACGCAAGTTAATACTCTATCTTGAGCAGGTGCGGCATACAGCGGCAATAGCCATGGATCACATAGATGCAGTAGATAGATTATGAACTCACGAATCAGACCCGACCCGCTCCGGCTAACAGTGGGAAAAGCCGAGGACAAGATCGAGACTCTTCGCTATTGGTGGACGGCCCCTATGAAATTGAACCGACTGGGTTGGCATGCAGTAAGCATGAGTATTACTAGAAGGACTATAGGCTGCCCAGCCTTCTCAAGTCATGCAGTCCTTGCAGAACTAATAATAAAGGAAGGAGGAACCGAAGCTTTACAACAGTGAGAAATCAATAATAAGGAGTCAGCTCTTCCTGATTAGCCACACCGAACAGGGTCAATTCTAATGACAAAAGCTGATGGATAAATATCGCCGCGGTTGAATAGATGATTGTAATGATGACGATGATGATTATGAGGGTGGTGTTGATGATGGTGGTTATGATGATGGTGGTGGTGGTGGTTGTGGTGGTGGTAGTGAGCATCGGGAAAAGAACAAAGGCTCAAAAACTGAGAATGATAAACACTCAGGGGCAAACCAAAAGAAGAAGCCACTTCTCAGCCGTCCCCTAACTTTCCTTTATCTAACACAGAGCATTACACGTGGACAAAGTTCGGTCTCCCATGTGTTTAAGTGACTCTAAGTATTGCGGGTTGTCAAAAATAATGGGACGCAACGGGGCAACGAATACAGCAACGACAACCCAACCCCGCCACCAACGAACGACAATACTAACGAAAATACATTTTGGGTCTCCAGTAGTTCTTATTATCACTTATCCTGTTTGTGGTCTCTTTGTGGTCGGTCATGGTTGAGAGATTATTACGTTGCAATGAAGCCTGTTGCGTCCCATTATTTTTGACAACCCACAATACATCCATGTACTTGTGTCGCCGTTACTGACCGCAATCTTAGACGGTGTTTTCGGTCTTGGCTCCGGCCTCACACCCGCCATGTGTACGCAATACCCGAGCCGTTTCCCTCTCAAAGAGCACATCCAACATATGTTAGAGTAAATGTAGGTTGAAGTATGGGTATATTACTTCACCATTTCCCGGCTCTCCCCTAATTATCAACATACACCCGCTGCTAGCTGCACAAGCTGTGTACATGTAGTTCCCAAATGAATTTCTACTCTCTAGTCAAATCTAGTTTGCTACACATAGCATATCAGGGGATGTGACCTCGAAGAGGAACCAGTACTACCTGGTCCGGCCAGAATAACAGGGTTAGGGTATCCGACCGAGTGATGGTTCATGATTTGAGCGTTTTTTGTTTTTGTTTAATTCATTAATTGATGATTTGAGCGTGATGCTAGGATCGGTATCTCGTGCATGAGATGTAGGTCTCCGGGTCTTTGGGCTAGGTTATATGTCCGTGGGACAAATGTAGATAGGGTAGTTTAAAAGGTCAATTGAGATCCGCAACTGAACAAAGACTTCACACATAAGAACTTATGCATTGCTTGGACATCTGCGCTACTACTACATACTAGTATGTGTTAAAGTAGGTAGACAATTCATGAAGAATGTGCCTATGTACATTATGTAATTATAGAATATGATATACATGAATGTACGTACAAGAACTTGTTTATAGAGAAAAGTTGACGAGGCCAAGGATGTATTTCGTTACAACGTATACAGCCAGTCACTCCTTTGAAATACTGTATCTACTACTACATGTAATTATAATAGATACGACACGCTCAGCTTTTCTAAGATAGTACATGTAGTTCGTACTTTCGTCGGTCACACAGCTGGTCATGATTTATCACATTTATACAAGCGTGCTAAGTGCATGTGCGTATCACATACAGGAGTTAGAAATTGTTGACGAAAAAAAAAGAATCCTCCCCTATAGAGTACAAGGGAGGGAAAAAATTGTTTTCTAATCGACAACGGCAGGGTTTGAACCTACGCTCCCGAAGGAATCAGATAACCGAACGATGGAAATTCAAGTCTGACGCCTTAACCACTCGGCCACGTTGTCTTGGTGGCACACTCTGACAGGGGTATTAGGTTGGTGCCAAGGTATTCCGAGATTAACCCGAATCATATATAATCACTCGGAGGGAGTTGACGGTTCCCAACTTTCTTTTGGTTTTGTTTGTCACTAAGTGTATGCAACCCCCCATTTATCACAGAATCGAAAAAACTCTCCTTGCAGGGCCTATCTATTCACCGCCATCTCAATAAAAGAAAAGAAACTATTTTTAAATTTTGTACATATTTCTCCTCCCGTGCCTTCTTCTCCCATCATGTAGCGGTATTTCGTACCCGGAATATGTCTCAGATTCTCTGAATGACGGTTTTCAAGAGATCTAGCTGAACTCACCCGAGTATTGTGATCCGGATTAATTGTAACCACAGATTATCACTCGATAATCCGCGCCAAGCCTACAAGGGCACACTTTTAGGAAAACCACGAGTCCAAAACCACGACGAGATCGATCAGTTGACTGTAAAATAAGAGTTAAGACCATTCTTATCTGGTAAATATTTCTATTCGACGTTCAACCATTGTCTTAGGAACGACATCATGGTGCGATTCTAGTTTTTTGCCGCTCGGATCCGAAAATTCCTCGGGCACTTACGAAATATGGGAATCCCTATTAAAAAATTCTGATTGTAGCATTAAAGGTTACTACTAGCAGCAATAGTAGTTAAGCCCTTTGAAACTGGCCTCATCGAGCTAATCCCATTCCTATAGGCCCATCATATATACCTTTACGACCATAATTTGCCATCAACCAACTCTATCGATCAACAAAATCTTGAGCAATTATGATCATCGTAAGTATCATGACATCAGGAAGACTACCAAGTGTAAGAGAATATGGAAACCGGTGTTTTTCCCTTAAGATCTCTTATTCCTTGAGTACTTTTGATGCTAGGATACGTATCGACCCTGACTATCCTTTGGCTCTATCAACTATCACAAATATTTATATAGAAACTACTCTTCACTATCTATCACTTGCCTAAGACCTTATGACACATGTCATCTCGTTTAAGCTATCACACACTATCTTCGGGGACTACATGAAATAACAAGGAAAGTCCCAGACCGGGAGTGTTATCACCAGAATTAACGGGTGATGACGTCCAAAATTGGGTGTATTAGTCTGTCCTAAAGTTCTAGTAAGTTTATAACCGTGTACAAATCCTCTTAGATATCCATCGCAGGTTGACTGGCAAGAGGTGTAGACTCAAATGCTGATACATCTGTTGTTTGAGTGTCTAATGAGCAAGGTCCCGAAGATCAACTGCCATTGGGTGCTTGAGTGATTGGTGGATTGACCTCATACTTGTTGGAAGGTTACTATGGCTAGGTTCTAAAAATATTTGCCCTCATTACGCATGTGTCCGTAGCGGGACGTATTGATATGACAAAAAAAAGGAGTTTCACTTTTTTCGACTTCATTGTACAGGACACCGGCCGCATCGTAGGCCTATAGTAGGCATATCAAGTGCAGGCTAGGATATCTCGAACGCGCTTTCCGATATATGATAGTCCCAGCCAAAGCTATTTAGGGCTGGGTTCTTTAAGTGGCCATCTTGGATCCTGACTAACTAGAGTATAATACGATAGCTATATAACTATTGCTAGAGATGCATGAAGTATATTATAACGATATTCTATTCCAGTATTACGAATGTGGGTAATATCAATGATAGACTTACTTAACTAGATGTAGCATCGATCCAGTAAACTGCCAATGCTGGGCTAGCCTTGTTTGTGGGGCCAAAAGCCACAATTGCGCGGACGGACGATTGGTGAGAGACTGACTCAAATTAAGAATCGAGGAACTTATTAGCAAAGTCAAACTGAATCGCCATGTACCTAAAAGAGTCAGTATTTTGGGAATTGATAGGAATACTGATATTGCTGCCATTTGTTGGCTGGCACAACAATCATGTGCGGCTGCCAGATCCTTTCCCAGTCGCTATACATCCCTCTGGTCTAATCCCTCGTACACATGAAAATTGAAACATATGTATGCCGCCATCCTCATAGTTTTGCACGCACACTTTATAGACTTTAAAAATTAGTCAAGCTGAGCTAAGCCCATTGAAAGTTATCAAAACATGAAACTCTAATAATTGTCCTTGAGAATTATAGAGGTCTAACTGTGCCCATCAATAATGTCAACTGATCGTTGGCTCAAAGACATCGTCCAAGCTTTTCGTGGCACCCAGCACAATGCATACCACTGTCACTGCACAAAATTAGAGTATTGCCATCTACTCCACATTTGCTCCCGGCGTCTCGGGAACGGCCATTTTCAACCAACTCAGGACAGTCTTCAAGATTGAGTGGCTGTGCCCCACGCGGGGATGTGTCTCAGCATGAGGCGCACACGTGTGGGTCTGCACTCCATCTACCATAAATGATACCTAGTCAATTGCTTTTCTTTTTCTTCCTACAGTTTCTTATCACGACAAGAGGAGGATGAGGAGGAGGCGCGAGCCCCTGATCCAGCTGGTTGGTTGGCTGCGTCCCGCGTGGGCGCAGAGCTGTTGTGTCCTCGACAGTTGAACATGCCATTAAAGAAACGTCACAAGATGTTTGATATCGCTCCCAGAGTTCGGACAGTGCTCAACATAGTTAAATACTCCAAATATACTCTACAAATATATGTAGATGTACCTACTGTTACCATCAATAAATATGCAGGTACAGTGCATGAAGCCACTGTACCGGACACTTAGAGTAGAGTTCTCCTTCCTAAACAGGGTGCTCTCGGTCCGCTCAACGACCATAACCCAGCACGGATCACAATGCAGGTGCACTCGATCTGCATAAGGGGGTCAGGGGCCGGGGTTTTCTTGGCGCATGTATAGCAACCCCTACCTACATACAGCTGCGCTCCCTGCTTGATCCCCTCACGCGTCTTCCCCCGTCCATCGCGTCTTCCCCACCAGACAGGCACCGCAAACACAACCTCTTTTCTGTCACTTCCTCCGACATATAGACTGGCAAAGGCCCGAATGTCATGCCATTCCCAAATCTCCCCAACGAGATCCTCCAAGCCATCGCCTCAAAGCTCGATGAGTTCTCCCTCAAATCACTCCTAGAGTGCTGCCCGCACCTCACAGCTCTGATGCCTCTGCTGGACGCGGCCATCCTAGAGTCTCAGAAGCACCCAAATCGCCGTATCTCCGCCCTTCACTGGGCTGCAGAAAAGGGCTTTCGTAAGCTCGCTTCAATTCTTCTCGCCAACGGTACCTCTATCAACGTGCGCGACGGCTGTAACCAGACACCGCTTCACCATGCTGTCCTCGGCGACAATGAGCTTATGGCCCAATTCCTCCTCTCGCACCCAGACATCGATATCAGCGCACACGACGACGCCTGGCAGACGGCATTTCACTGCGCAGCCCTCAGTGGCCGCGTAGGCATGGTAATGATCTTTCTAGACCACGGGGTCGAGATCAACCAGGGTACATATCAGGCCAAGCAGACGGCACTGCACTTTGCCGTGCAATTCGGCAATCTTGCTGTCGCCGAACTACTACTGCGGAGGGGTGCCGACATCGACCGGCGGTGCGAGCGAGGGAAGACGGCGCTGCATTGGGCAGCACAAGGAAACCATGTCTTCAATCGTGATCTGGTGCCGGGGATCAGCCTTTTGATCGAGAATGGTGCTGATGTGACAGTCCAAGACCAGATGGGGAACACAGCACTACATGTGCTGGCTCAGTGTTATCTCGAAGGCGCGTTCGATGCAATAACACTTTTGCTGGAGCATGGCGCTGGTATCGATGTGCAGAACAAAAAAGGGAAGACAGCACTACATGTGGCAGCGTTGGACGATTCTGGCAGGGATTCGCCAGATGTGCTGAATCTTTTGTTAGACGAAGGCGCAGATATCGGAATTAAGGATTCCAGAGGGCTGACGGCGCTGGAAACAGCGGTAAAGAGGGGTTTTAGGTTTACGAGGCGAAATAGAAACGAGTGCGAGATTGGGTTTCGGGGGAGCATTTTCCCAATGTAAAGTTTTTTTTATCACCTTTTATCTTTTATCTTTTATCTTTTATTGTATTTTGTAGGATTGGGAGGGATGGGGGAGTTGGGGAATGTATAGTTAGCTTGGATAATTGTAATATTAATTATTAGACTCAAGGAGAAAGGGTACTAGTGAATGGAGATCTGACCATTGAGAGATTGGCCGCTTTATCGAGAACTACTGAGTTCACGGTCACATGGACCGCGTGTAATTGATGGCCTGCATACTATAAGTTATCTGTTATCTATTTAAACAATATCGTCATAGCTATGTAAGTACTTGGTAAAAATAGAGTAGATACTTCATGTAAATACTTACTAATGCAATTTATATTTATCTAATATAGTTAAATACGAAGGTGCGCGCTGCGCCCGGCACCCCTCCAGGGCCTTATTAATGGATGCCTTTCTTCCCCGCATATTTTTTCCCGACACACTGGGTATGCTTGTACTCGTAGCTTATAGCGTTTCCGAACACGACCAATATTGCATGACATACAAAAAGGTGGATTTGGCGCTTTTTCGTATGTCATGCGGTGTTGGTCGTGTTCGGAAACGCTATAAAGCTACGAGTAATTACTCCGTTCTCGTTGAGCAGGCCCTTCGATATCTCGCCGATCTGTACCCCACAAGTCCGTTTCACAGCATATGCCGTAAGCCCATGCATCCATATCTGTGTCGAATCATTTAGATACCCTGTATCTATAGAGCTACCACTTATATACCGTATTGACGGGCACGAACAAAGAGACAGCCAAGCCAAGTTTTGCCTGCAATCCGTCAACACCCAGTGTCCGCCAATACCCCGTGAACGACAGTACCCCGCGGATGCTGCTTCTAGAAGCACGATGTCCAGGAAACGAGGATATGCTGAATGGATACGCGTAGGGCTGTGTATGCTGATTACCATCGATGTACGGCCAATACCGTAAACTGGCTTGAACTCGTCGATCGTCGTGGTTTGCTATACGCGGTCGGTAGTTGAAGAAGTTGATGGCAAGGCTACAATTAAGAGGAAGCATAAGTTAAACTCTTCGCTGTAAAAAAATCATCGTCATCTTAATAACTTAACACCACAAAAGGATTTATCTCTCATAGTAGCGAAGCTTAAGGCTGAAATGACGTCGACGGATATAGAACATATGCATATGATCATGGTATGGCAAGTAGCAGAGTTATCGGGAGGGAATCTATATTATGAAGTTAGACAAACATTTGGGGGTATGGTGGAGAGTTTACCATGATTGGCAGTATTGGTATAGGTGAATACATGTATGTGTATGCGTTGAGATTTGGCGCAGAATGATGACACATCGAGAGATCATATGCATCTTGCCTGTGTAATTTTGATCATAAGGTGTCACTCGTTAGCTTGATACCATACGATGTAATGTAAGCAACTAGGGAGGCTACGTTATATACCAGATATTCCTCTGAAGTCACCAAAATTTAAAAGTCTAGGAATACGAAAGGAAACGCGTCTTCTTTGAGCTAATTGGATACATGTATACATGTAGTCTTTGAAACCCCAGGTAAACATGGACCTGATAAGCAAGCATGGAAACGAGTCCACGATACTCTACAATCAATATCTACATCCGCAGGCGCGTATCCAGATGTATTACACCTACTCTCAACTCTAGAGTACCCTGCCACGGACTGAATCTACAATGTAAAGTAGAGTACTCACTTAGATACGCGCATGCAAACTCGGAAGCGGGGAGAGTGGTACATACATGTACCTAACAGGAGATCTACCGGGTTATCTACTTTCCTTTTTTGGCTCACCCTTTTACTGGCGCACACTATTAAACGGAGCCACATCTCCGGGTTGCATCAAGAATCATAAATCAGACAGCTTAGCCTCCCCGATTGGTTCCACGAATTGCGCCGCGCTTCCTCGCTGTTCGACATATTTCTGTCGTTGAAAATCACCAGATACTTAATCAGAGGACATAGCAATACATATTCATTCCTCTGTAGACGGTAATCATGAGAATTCAGTTAACTACATGTATTACAAACATGTGGTGAGTTGCGTTAGACAATCCTTGGAATAAAAATTGCTTTTTTTGCTCTAAGCTTTGCCATTGGCTTACTTCCTAGCTCTGATCACCAAAGGCGGGAGCCTGAACAGGGGGCTTGACCTACATGCAAGCTTTTATTTGCTACATGGAGTTACTCTAGGTCTGGCCCATCGCGAAAGAAGCTTGTCTATCACTGTTTTTCTTTTTCTCACTGGCTGCCTCTTCTGGGTCTTTAATTGCCACTAATTTATGATCAGCCTCCGCTGTAATGCCCACTTTGGTTTTTGAGGAATTCCAGATTGATGCAACCCACAACACCCCGTGCTTCCGTACCCGTACATATGGTTGATGTGTCTCCCACCCTTTAGATTTTATCCCCCTCTTTTTTCAGCGTTTCCTTCCGTCCAAGGTTGAACCCCTCAATAAAAAGTCCAAACAGAAACAGAGCAGCGTTTTCTTTTGGTTGAAGAAGCTCACAAAAAATGGTCCTGCTATCATCGCTGACTCCAGGATGGGGGGCTCTCCTTTTCTCGTGGATGCTATTATTCTTGTCTGGCGTTAGTGCGCATTTCGAGGTCATGTATCCCGCGCAACGGAGATATGTATATCATGATCAGTTTAAGTTCCCATGTAAGACATTGCCCATCATTCTCAATCCCTTCTTGAAGGTTACGCTGACTTGAGTAGGTGGAGGTTTGAGCCCCCATCCCCATCCCCTATCGTATAATATCTCTAACCGTTTCCACACTCAGGTTCTCCTAGAGATCCGTCTGTTAACCGGTCCTCATGGCCCGTGGCCGGCGGCGCCCTGTCTTTCGTTCCAATCCACGCTTTCGCACTCACGACTGTAAACATCGCGCTCGGCAATAACATCGACGAAAATATCGACTCCAACCCGTACAATGTCCCCATGGTCCCACTATTTAACCAGACCGGTGGCAATGCTACCTTCTGCATTCCTAAAATAAAAATCCCTAAGAAAATCGCGAGTGAGGTGGCAGATGGTGTAAATGCCACGATGCAGGTTATTCAGTTGACGGGTACTGGCGCTGCGCTGTATAGTGTATGTATACATACATACTTTGGCAGGAGGAGGAATAGGAAGAATAAGGTCCACTAACTGAGCGCTGGATTGATCTAGTGCATGGACATTACCTTCTCCGCGAGAGAAGCCGAAATATTTGCTGAGCCGGCGGTGTGGAACCATTTTTGTATCAATGGAACGGGAATGGGGGCACAAAAGATCGGAGCTCCGATAAATGGAAGCATATCGAGTGCTGCAATGAGGTTAATAACACCGCCCTCGTCTTTGTCCTCGCCGTTAGTGATAGCAGCTTTTGCTTTGCTCTGGTCCTTGTGGATAAATTAGTATTTTCCATTGGTTTTTGGGTACGCGGCTGGGGTGTATATTGGCGTTATTCTATATCTTGTCCTGAGCTTCCTTTTGTAAAATAAGTGAGAGTCAACTCTGACGCATGACGATGATGCCTGTAGGCTCATGGACTGAGGCCGAGCCCTATGATATCTTCTTTTGGTTAGCTAATAGGAAATCTCCAAGCATCTCAATTAATTGAATACTAGTACCAAAATTGACCGAACTGGCAAACGGACCCAAAGTGGAAGAGCCCAAACCGGTGGAGCACCACCACAAAGCCCTTTCTTGTTTCCATGATTGTTCTTTGTTCTCCAGCGTCGGTATTATCCTTGATGAGTGCTGGAACCAAGATTCTGAAAGTTGGGCTTTAATATCTGAAAATATTTTTTGACCGTTGCAACATGTTCTTATAGAATCCTCGCATCTAACAATAGAACTCAATGTACGGTCGCGGCGCTGAACGTGCCAATAAGGATCTGGAACATGAGTTCTATATTTACCCATTCTTGCAGAGTTTCTAGCAAGCTAGCCGCCGCTGCAAAGTTTTAGCCCCCACTGTTGGAGCACGTACTCTACTCGGCATGCATATTCTGGCATATTCTGGCCGGTCCACAGAGCGTACTCGATGATCATGCAGGTACGATACGTCATTGAGACCTTCTGGCAGAAGAATATAAATTCTTGGTCGGTCTCTGGGGGGCTATTATAAAGTCGGGGAACATATGCATATATGAGTAAAGCGGTGATTGGAACATAAGTACATGTACATGGCTAGCTAGAGATTGCGCACATGGCCTGGTACTTGTCCCTATAGAAGCATATCAGTCGATATAGAGAAAGTAAAAGCGGTAGATCAATTGTAAGTACGAAGCTTCCCTAGATAAGGTATAGATCTTTACCCTTTATCACGATGCGTAAAATCTTCATCCTTCAGTACTATTTTGAATACTCTACTTTACATCCTGTGGTACGTAGACTCCTCCCGTTCATTTACACTTAATTGTTTCTAGTTCTGGTTCGGGGAAAGATGCGTTAAGAAATACTATTTAGACATATACATGTAGATATGGATGGATGATTTTCGATTGATTGAACGGGCACCTGCTTCTCCGGCCCTCGGGGCTTAAGCTAGCATTCATTAGACGTAGATTCGATATTGTACCCTGTTACATATATTTATGTACCCTGCAGTCATGCTAATATTTGAACAGCAATATTACAGTTATCATCACGTTACATGTAGGCACGCGCAGCCCCAATCCATGATCCAACGTTACCTCGTACTGCGTGCGGTGGATGTAACGCTAGTGACGCTACGACTCGCAGGCGATAAGGTTTGCACGGACGTCGTCACAGCTAAATAACACGCCTCATCAGCTCAGTGCCCGCTGCATTGGTACCATGGTACCAACTGGCCAAGTCAAACTCACGATCAAGCTCAATCGTACTACCATCATCCTCGCCATCACCCGTGTGCGGGTCCAAGAAATGGAAGAACACTGTTTTAAACGATCTCGTCCCTTCACCAATGTCAGAAATCATCCATTTAGCTGGCCTACAAAACACAGCTTGGAGGTGTATGGGGAATCCGAAACCTTTTCCCAGTTTCTTCCAGTTCCTTCTCGCCTGGAGATAGATGTTTTTGAAAATTTGCAACAGAGTTCCTATACCCACAACAAACGGAATGAGCTGTCCTACAGAGTCGAGATCTCCGACTCCACTGACTTGGTTCCATCTCAGAGAGCACTCTACGGAGATGATGATTATACCAATTCCCCCAAACCCAAACAATGAGCCAGCAACATACCAGAACAGAATTTCTCCGGGAGAAAGACGCTTGTTCTGCTTATACTCTTGCCCGTTGATCGGTCCGCTATTGATCTGAAACCCCGAAGTTACCGAGCCTGTTTGATTCTGCGTTTGCTGCATTTGGGCTCCACTTCTCATCTCTATTAGAAAGTTACCATTCCTTGACCACTCTGGCTCTTGAAATGGCTCTAGCAATACATCGACCCAGTACAGCACGAAGTTCTCCTCCTTCTTCCGTGAAGAGAGTAGCTGCGACTCGGAAACCGCGATCATGGTAACCACTATGACCAGGGAGATGCACCCCAGGATCAGTGCAACCATCATCCATATATTAAAGACTTTATTGACCGTGCGGAACCAGCCAAACAAGTCAACCCTCGCCATAAAGAACCCGTGCGTCGTGCACGCCCCCACCCCCATTCTATCCATTCCCCGCCACCAGAACCAGAGCGAATAGCTATGCAACCCTGCCAGCAGGATTATGAAGCATATCATCGTGAAGACCGCGCCGCCGAAAATCCCGTTTTTGTCATCGTCGCGTGAGATTGCGAGGTAGATGAAAAAGTACGAGAATGTTGTGAATACGACGCCAGAGAGGAGAATCACCACGATGTAGCTCTCGACTGCATAGAAGTCGGTACCTTCCCGCGCGGCTTGGAAAACCAGCCCGACAAAGAGACTGAACTGGAACCAGAGGTTGACGGTCTGCGCGCCGCGCGTCTCGGAGGGGATGAAGGTGTTGGCGAAGCAGGTAGCAACGAGTTGGCTGTAGAAGCCGATGCGAATGCCGAGGCCGTAGAGGTCGGGATTGCCGCTGAGACTGCAGGTGTTGTCTTGGGCTGCAGCAGAAGTGGTGAGAGTTGCTAGTATTATGAACGTTGAGAGATACTTCGGAGTAGGCATCCTTTGGGCTTATAAGCTTATTCTTATTGAAATAGCTTGGATCGATGTGGTTTCTCCATGGCACTTGTCCGGTGGGCATGACTGGTTACATCCATGTCAATAATACTCCCTGTAAGTTCTGGGTATGATTTATAGTAGATCATAGAGAAACAACTACGCGCCCTTGGGAAGGACCAACTGGTCTTCAGTACTACTACCCAATATCGCATCTAATGAGATTATAAGATGGCCATATTGCCTTATTCCAATTTCAGTACAATCGAGAGAGCCAGAATCGCCAGAATTGACCGCCGCGACACTAATACCCATATCTATACTCTATCGCCCTAGGCGTTATATTAGGCCGTCAGGCCAAATATGAATGTTGTAAACTAATTAAACATAGAGGTTGTAACATCAGGAGCTGAGGGGCCGAATACAGCTCCTCACGATCACGCCTGCCACCGGCACCACAGGTTGCTGTACTTCAAAAGATCTGGTAAGAAAATACATTACCTCTTCCTTGGAGATTCCTTTATCGCAATTAACTTAGTACCTAGTTTACATCATTTATATCAGACCTGGCAGCCTAAGGATGCCTTAGTTTCAATAAGGGCTCGTAGGTATCATCCCATATGATATCTATCCAGTTCGATGTTACACAAACGTCACGAATACATCTACTTACATAATCACTCGAGTAAGGTGCCAGCAACAATGGCAAGGCTGAGTGTGAATCCTAGAGATCCTCCTACCCCCTCGCCAGGTAAGTTTCGTACCATCTTAATCCGTGAATATATCTACTGATGTCTGCAATTGCTGTAGCTGGATCTTCGGGTCAAGTCTTAAACAAGAAAGTCAAAAAGAAACGACCCTCATTCCTTAAGATTTTCTATCGGTCACCGAGGAGGGATGATGAAGTCATACCGGTTGCAAATCAGGTTTCGGGGCGCCAAATGGGCTCCAGCGGTTCTGTTGTGTCTGTTGGAAACCATATGACAGTGGGTAGTTCTGCAACCGCTACAACTCAAAACCACACCGTAGCGTCACCCAGAAGTACTGCAAGTAGTAATGCCGGCAGGGAACAGCCAAACAAATAATGCAGTTACTGGGAACGGTGTAGCGTTTATCCCTACTACTTTGAAGTAAGGCCCCACCTTGCTTAAATATCTTTACATTGGCAAAGCTTACAATACTAGGAAATCAAAATCATCATGGGAGACAGCTGACAAAATTATCACTAGAAGAACAGCAAGCGTTCGGTTTCGGTGGTACAGAAAAACTTGACATCTTGGAAGCTGTCCTCACAGCAACGAGAGAGAAGAGAGACATCTGCCGACAGAAACAGTGGAAATATACCTGGAAAGGGGAGACTATCATACTTCGTGATATTGCCGACAAAATTCTCGTGTGGGTCGATAAATTTAAATCTATTGGAGATGTAGCTGTATCTTTTGATCCAAATCATGCCGCACTCCCCTGGAGCGCATTTAGGTTTATTCTGCAGGTATTTTCACTTTTTGATATATTGAGTTATATGAGAAGTATTAATCAAGAGCGTAGATGGCTATAAATGATAAGCAAAACATGGGTGCAGTTCTTATAGGCCTTGAAATTGTTGCAAATCTCATAGGGAGGTGCGCGATATATGGAACACTATATATTGGGAACGGGACCAGGTCATCTATTCATTTCGGGGAAGAAACAGTTAAATTATACGCATGTATCTTACTGTACCTGGCCCAGGCCAAGCAGTATTACTCAAAGAACACTGGAGGTACGTGTCTTGCAGGGTTTTGAGACGCCGTGGCGCTGGACTAACACACGATCCTAGTACTTAATTATCGTTACTACAGTTCGGATTGCATTCAGTACCTTTGAGACCGAGTTAGCTTCCTTGCTTGATGATATCGCCACACAGGAGACTAGCTTGCTCAAAGCGACCGACCTTGCAGAAGCAGAATGTGAGTCTTTGACGTATTAACTCGAGAGTGTAAGTTCTAATACTCATGCTTTTCACAGACCATAGAATAGCTGGCCATGAACTTCAGGAAACAAGTAGAGGTAGCTCCTATATCATACCAACCAGTTAATAAGTCCAAGCTAATATTACCAATTGATTCGGCCAGAAATATCCGATGGACTGAAAAGACTTGCCCAAGGATTTCAAATGCCAATTATTAGAATTGACTCCGATGTCAAAAAACTTGTTAATGCTCAAAATGGTATATATAAGAATTTGTTTCCCCCATGCATGTCAATACTCCAGAATTTCAAATGAATATAAGCTGATAGTGAAATATAAAAACAGCCGAAGAGCGAACGAATATCTTGAAATGGTTATCGTAGGTTGAATATGAAAAGCATCATGTAAATGCTTGTATTGGACGTGTAGCTGGGGCAGGTGAATGGTTGCTGAATAAAAGAGATTTTATTCAATGGCAAAGGTCAAGTGCTTCAACGATTCTCTGGCTACGTGGAATCCGTAAGTCACCCAAAAGACCATACCTTGATTGAAAGGAAAGGGATATACTTTGATTTATGATCTGACATTGGTCTTCGTAGCTGGCGCCGGAAAAACAAAACTTGCGTAAGCACAACTGATACATACCGGGTATTCATGCATGGGCTGATTTTGTAGGTCGAGAGTAATCGATAACGCTATACAGCAACGGAAATCCGGGGGTGATGAGGCCTTCGCTTATTTCTATTGTAAACGCGATGCATCTGGGCCAACCGACCCAGAAGTCATCATGAGCGCCATTGTGAAGCAATTATGCTGTCCACGACCATTACTGCCGTTGCAGAATGAGGTTGTCGCTGTTTACGAGCCTAGGAAAAATTCTGGGTTCTCTTTATGATCATTAGGATTTCAAGAAAGCCTCGACCTCAGCATGAAGCTAGTCAATATTTACCCACAGACCACCATTGTTATTGATGCTCTAGATGAGTATGATCAAGAGAAGGGAAAGAAATTTTTGATGTCGTTAAGGAAGATTGTCGAATCTTCTACAAGCCTTGTGAAGATATTCGTTTCTAGCAGAAACGATGACGATATTGTACTCAAGCTAGAAAAATTACCAAATCTTTGGATCAAAGCAGCAGACAATGCGGGCGATATTGAGAGGTTCGTGCAGAAGGAGGTCATACGCTGTAAAAAGGATGGAGATTTGTTGCGTGGTAGCATCAAAGATGAGTTGTTAGAGAAAATTATTAGTAGCCTAACCACGCGGTCTCAAGGAATGTATGAGTACAAAGCTTTCTTAATACACCCCATACATTGCCTACCAGGACATTCTTCTAACTGGTGGTTAAAGGTTTCTATGGGCCGATCTTCAAATTAAACACATATGCGCCATGGATACCTCGGCGGATATCGAGGCGGGACTAAACGCATTACCGGAATCTTTAGAAGAGACATATCTAGAGATTCATAACCGTATACGATTTCAGAAAGGAAATAGTCCACAGATAGCTGAAGCTACTTTGATGTGGGTACTTTGTTTAAAAGAATCATTGCCACCTGCAAAGCTCGTTACTATCGTCTCACGGTCCGTCAACGTGGATGATTGGGAGCTTAGTGTGGAAACGTTGTTGAAAATATGTCACAATCTTCTCGTGCTTGATCGCCAATCCAACATTGTACGGGTTGCACACTTATCAGTACGTGAATTCCTTGAAAAAGGTGTCGGAACTATCAATGCACATACAATGGCATCGAAGTTTTGTCATATGATGGATAATACTGCTATCCTGCGCTCTTCCCTCGCTCCTGATGTCAGGGCGGCATTTGTCAAGCGTTATGTCGTGAGTTATTGGATACACCATGTCCGGTGCTCTAGATCTCTCCATCAACAAGCAACCCTCGAGCTTTCTGAATTACTTTTGAAATTCTTGAAAAGTGATGCCCTTGTGTCATACGATATAGCAAGGCGGGATTATATGAATGATATTTACCCTTGGACAAGCTCATGGGAAACTCAGCCCAAATAGCATTATTACTTGGTTTTCCTGAAACCAGTAGCTTGTGGGAGTCAGAATCAACGGGTCTTTGCTCAATGGAGGAGCAAATGAAAATATACTTGTTTGTATCTATCGCAGCGCACACACAGCACCGCTGGGGTCTGGAGCTACTTCTTGATAGTGGAGTAGATATCGATGGCGTAATTAGAAGAACTGGGAGTTAAAATTACAACAGACACGCCCTAGGAGACAACCCAAATCATATCATCATGCTAGGAGGCACCGCGCTAGAAGCCGCAGCTTTTAACGGAAACATAGATAATTTGAAGCTACTACTGGATAGAGGAGCAAAGCTCAATTGCAAAGCAGTTGATACGTTCGTCTCATGTCAAAGCTCTGCGCTACACAGAGCAGTCGAAGTCCGCCAGGAGGCCACTGTGAAATTATTACTGGATAGAGGAGCAAAAGCGAGCTCCATTGGCGCGCTTGGAAGCATATTAGTAACAGCGATGATATATCGCCAGGATGGTGGAAGCGAGAATATTGTGAGGCTACTGCTGGACAGCAGGGCAGATGTCAACGCAGAAAGCTATGACGGCAGCGCGCTACAGAACGCGGTTTCTTACGGAAATGAGAACTTTGTGAGACTACTTCTGGACAGGGAAGCGGATGTCAATGCGCGTGGATCTCCTTACGCTCTTCCATTCGGTCACGCACTACACAGAGCGATCAAGGGCCGGAAGGATATTGCTCTTGTGAAGCTATTGATCGATAAAGGAGCAGATGTCAATTTACGTTCTATAGGTCCTTATTTCAAATCTCATAGCACGATAGCGGCAGCGGCTAGTATTGGAAGCGAGGACATTGTAAAGCTACTCTTGGATAGAGGGGCAAATGTTAACGCAGACTGCGATTATTGGGGTAACACGTTACGGGCAGCGGCCTTCTCTGGAAACGAGAGCATAGTGAGATTAGTTCTTGAAAAGGGAGCAGAAGACAATGCAAACAGCGATATCGACACCTTTCTATAGAGTGCTGTTAAGGGTGGAAACATCAATATTGTGAAGCTAGCGCTGGACAGAGGAGCGAACGTTAATGAACGCTCTGCTAATGGAATTAGCGCGCTAAACTATGCCACCTTTGTACATGGTGGGCATGAGGACATTGTGAGGTTATTGTTGGATAAAGGCGCGAAAATTCACGGTTATGGCCTGATACACGCAGCGGTCGGTGGTGGAAACGAGAATATTTTGAGGTTGCTATTGGATAGAGGAGTAGATGTCAATGAATACAGCGCTAACAACAGCAGCGCCGGCGTGGTAGAGGTAGCGGTTCGCAGTGGGCGGGAAACATTGTGAGATTGCTGCTGGATAGGGGAGCAGATATCTGCGGAACCGGCAACCCTGACAGTCAAAAGAGTGAAATCCTACCAATCGCGGTACACGATGGAGATATAAAGATTGTCAAGCTGCTTCTGGACAGAGGAGCAGACATCAACGGATCCTACGATGGATATTACAACCACTGTACCCCTCTCGGTAGGACGCTAACAGTGACGGCCCGGACTGCCAAGAGAACCGCCATTGCAAAACTACTGCTGGACAGAGGAGCAGAGATACAGGGCGGCGAGCTAGAGGCAGCGATACACAGCGAGAACGTGGAGATTGCGGACCTATTGGTTGACAGGGAAGCGGTCGTTCGGGGCAAAGCTGATGCATGAAGTACATAATTGCAACGTGATAATACATGTGACTGTGAAATATATGTAATTATCACACTTTCTTTTTCTTTTTGGGAAATGCGGTTGAGTTTATGTACGTAAATATAAGTATGGATCGAAGAGCACATTTGGGAGCCGTTTAAATTGTTATGGTAGTCTAAAGATTTGTTCTGGGTAAAATCCTGTTCTGAGAAATAAATTGCGCTTGATAGCGCCCCATTTTATGGGTCCAAAAACCAAATGCTGACTCCATTAAGTCGAGAGGTTTCTAATCAGCAGCTTGGAGATGATCTTTCACCTTGAAACCCTGTTCAGAGGTTTCTCCATATTCCGTCCACGGTAGAGCCAAGATATAGGAAATCAGGACGTTCCTGTCATTACCCCTGATGACTAAACCTCTAGCGAGAACACCGCGGCCTCGTTGTGGGGTCTTGACTTTGACAAGGTAAGGCGAGGCCCCCTAGAAAAAGCACGAAGGGGGAGAGTGGGGAGCCGGTTTGTGTTGTATTGCCCAGAAGCCGTGATACGTATCACGTGGAATTGAGACGGCGAGTGACTGTTCATGAACCGGGCACTAGTGGCCTATGCACGTGACCAGAAAACCGGCCTGAGGTATGTACGATAGCTCTTGATCAGTCTTTATTATACTGGGTACATATATTATCAACATGAAAGTAGTCCGACGGACAATGACTTAGGTAAGTTGAGACCAAGTAAAGCTATTTATTGCCATTTCCATCTACAAAACGTCCTATATACCACAAAACCGCAGAGAGAAAAGCCAAACTAAGCACCAAATTCAGGAACAAAAAACACAAAAGCCACCCACTTGACAGGATCCTCACAAAAGAAAAAGTTGAAAAAGAATGAAAGTCACACACTATAGCTAATCAGTCAGTCAACCAACAAAACCAACCACCTACAAATCAAACGGTCTCAACCTCCCCCCACCGCCGGCCGAATAAACACTGCATGGCGCCATTTCGTCATCATCCAAGTACTCGTCATCCACACCTCCATAATACTCATTGAAGAACTCCGACGTCCTGAACACTGGGTCTGAACGTTGCTTCGTCGCCGCCGACGCAGAGAGCATACTATGGGCGCTGCAGTCCTCCGTCAGTGCCTGCGGCGCTCGCACCTGCTGCTGCTGCTGCTGCGCCTGCTGTTGGAGAAGCTGGTTGTGCGTGGTGAGGGCGTGGGCGTAGGTATTGTGGTCGATGATGCCGTGGGCGAGTGCGATCTCGAGGTCGTTCTGGGAGGATGTGGAGCCGAGGTTGGATTGCAGGAGGTACTGGATGTAGCTGTTTTGTTCTGCGGTTGTGGTGATGGTTGTAGCTGGGCGCGGCTGGGGTTGCTGCTGTTGTTGCTGCGCGAGGAAGGGGGTGTAGGTGGGGTGGGTGTAGTGCTGGGAGACGGAGTAGTTAATTGTTGCTGGTGGGGACATTGGGGGCGTCGCGGGTGGGTCGATGAGGGAGAGGTTGCGGGAGAAGAGGTTTGCGAGGTCGTCGCTGGTGGGGTCGGACCATTGCTGTTGGCCGGGTTGGGGTTTGGCTGTGGGCGTGGTGGGGACGAGGTTTGTGGTTGAAGCGCACTATGGTTGTGTTAGTCGGTTTGTATTGGAAATGATAGTAATAGCATGTACTCACCTGCGAGCAGTATGGGATCTCGTCGTAGTCCATCCGCGGGAACTCGTCAATGTTGTTGCAGTTTAAGCAACGGACTGATACGTAGGGCATCATATTTTCAGCTAGTGAGGGGGAGGGTTAGCGGAAGGATTTTTGCTATTAATTCTTGACATATGTTTCAGTTGCATGATCCAAGAGATGACAGGAGTGAGTATATATGTATGTGAAGTGCACTTTTTGGATAGAATGAGTGAGACGAATATTTCTTTCTTTCTTCTAGTATATTATTTCTTTGATACGTTTTGTTTCTCACTACTGCGAATGAAATTAAAGGAAATGAGAAAAAAAGAAATGAAATCGAATACCAGAGAAGAAAAACAAAAAGTTCAAATGATAATCTTTTTATCTGAAACTGAAGAAAATAACTCAGGGTGTGAGGGTGTGAGAGGGGTAGAGAATCGGCGAGGGGGGCAAAAAATAGAACTGGAGAATGGGTGTGGGGTAAATCTTGCAAGCCTGATCGCGGGCGTCACTTGATTCTCGGCGAACAACGACAACGCAGGGGAAGATGGTAGGAAATGCTGTAGAGTAGTGAATATTGTGATACCGACGAGATTTAGAAGGTTTGTTTCTGGCGACAGAAGAGAGACTGGAAGCGAAGAATATAATCGAGGATAGAGAAGGAGGAGGAGGAGAATGGCAAGTGGTGGGTATATGTACTCAACAGTTTGCTAAGCAGGGCAGGGCACATGATTGCATCGAGGGGTTCAAATTTACAACCAACAACAACCACCAGCTACCCCACCACACCACATCCTAGACTCATCCCTCTCCCCGGCACCACAGCCAATCCCGCCGTGACAGCACAGGAAGCCTCGGGCCAACGGTAGTAAAAGCCGCACTGAATTTACATCCCAACGGGATAGCTAAAGTTTAAAGTGGACTGGTGTGAGGGGGTGGAGTGACCCTGGAGTGACCTTGCCGCTGACAGAGATCTTATCTTATCATATCTTATCTTAGTGGCGTGACAACCAAGATCTAGAACAGCCAACCAACGACAACACATCCATGCATGTGTGACTCTTGAACTGTGAGACTTCCCACCAAGATCATGTCGAAAGTCCTCCCCCGCCTACCAATCCACATAACATTCTTCTCACGCTCCAGCTGTGCCTTGTGCACCAACGCGCGACAAAACCTCGCTGACGCGTGGAAGCTACGGCCCTTCGAGTTCGCCGAGATCGACGTAATGGAGCCAGGACAGCAGAAGTGGAAGGACGTTTACGTAGGTTCCGTCAGTTGGGGCAGGGTATGTTAGCAGGTTAACCGAAATCTATAGGAATTCGATGTACCAGTTATCCATGTCTCAAAAACGGGCAAGGGCGGGGTTGTGGAGGAGGTGAAGAAGAAACTGATGCATAGGTTTACCCCGGAAGAGATTGTGAAGGCTTGGGATGAGGTCAGGGAACAGGGGCCGGTACATGAAGAGAAATGACGATTCGTTGTATGTAGCGGTGTAGATACAGCAAATCCTCAGCCATTCGAAATTGAGATCCCCAAATGATGCTAGTTGTGGGCCTTCAGTCCCACTACTTCTATCGATAATTGTCTCCACGGTTTCGTTTACCGTGCCCGCTTTGTAACACTCGAACCATTGCTTTTAAAACAAGATGACAGAACTTGCACTTCTACACGTGGGATCAGCAGAGTGCACTTTCAATTGTTCATGCGTCATCACTCGACACGCCACTTCACCAATTGCAAGGCATGCGTCCCATTACTTGCATGCAGCCTTCCAAATAACACTTCATCCTAGAGTACCGCAGAAACTCGCCAACTTGATTATCTCCGTGCAGGGATTTCTTCATTGATGATTGGCTGAAAGGCAGAGATCAGCTTCAGATATTTCCTCTACAAGTTAGTTTTTGGTCAGATCCGCTAGCAAAGTTCGTGAGTTTTTGCGGTACCTCTAGGCCTGCGTCCATACCCAAAATAGCTCTTCGATCCTTGATCCCATCCCTTCTGTACGTACATGGTGGGCAGTATTACTCCATCAAGATCTAATTTATTGCTAACGCCGCTCTGGGTATCACTAGCACCTCTCTAGATCTAGCCGCGAAGCGTTGTGACCTGTACCAACCTCTTTCGGGAGTCCTGATTTCCTGCTTGGGGCGATCGCCAGCGCTGAAAAGCGGTGAAGTTTCCAACAGCTTAAGGATGCCACTTTTGATTAATACCACTTATCCCAAAAGGATGTGCAAAAAGTAAAACTTCTGCCAAGTAATGGCCGCACCGGGATTTGGACCACGGCACAAGGGTTTTGGTAAATCGAACTCATGTACCTACAGGTGTTCACCGTTTGAAATCCCAGTGGTACCTGTGGTTTTTTTTCGTGGATTTGGCTGTGCTCTCTGGAGCAAGCTTGGCACTCATTGTGATCCTCTGTTATGAGCCTAGCTAGCTCGGAACTAGCTACATTTTACACCACTTGTGCAGTCGATATGGGCGTGGGAAATGGCTATGGGATCATTATATTCGTAACTACAATGGAGGGTAAGGGGCTGGTTGGCGGTTTGAGGGGACACATTCTCTGGAAGATGTAAGATGGGAACACGTTTTGGAAAGAACCCTCGGGTGGTAACCTCCGGTGCACCCCTAGTCAGGCATATATAAGACGACTAGATCACGATCATGAAGTCTGGCATGGGGCGCATTTAGCATTCGAAAACTACCTCCATAACACATCCATTCCTTAGGGGATGAACATCGATCGATAAGACTACATCCGAATACCTGTGGTCTGGCCAAACGATAGGGTTGGCTTAGCGGACACCACGCTGCGGTCGATTCTCTTATTTTTGATGTGCTGATTCCCTGTCTTTTGGGGAATATAGAAGTTCTTGCGGTGTTTGTCGTCCGAATTTTACCACTTTCTCTATCCTGTAATCATCAAAGAAATTCAATAATCCAGGATAACCTATCTGTACACTGACAGCATAAATTTCTTAGTATTTATAGCGCTTCATGGCTCTAGGCAAATAACCTATTCGGCTATCAACATACATGGTGAGGAGGATTGTCGAGCTCCAAGTAGGTGGGAATTCTGTGCTATTCAATATAGTATACTCGACCAATAGGTTCTAGTTCTCGTCTGTCAAGGTGCTTCCGTGCGTTGTAGGGAAGTAAATCGCAATGCGAGTGAGAACCTATGATCAACACCGCCCCTGTTTACAGGCATTTAGAATTAGCTTTCTTAAATTTATAATAAACCTCAACCAAGGACTACATCCAAACTATCATGCAGCATCCAAAGTACTGTGGGGTCTATCTACAGACGTATTTGTGAATTTCAATACACCGGCGGGCATCGCGGGTGTGGTTGGTTGCGGGTGCGGGCATGTGATGTGCGGGCTTCTGGGTCTTTCGGTGTCGGAAAAAATAAGACGACCGGCGGCGAAGTACGTGCTAGTGGGCCGCCGGTCACCAATGGCTTGTATTAATTTGTGATTAACGTTGTGTGCGCGTATGATCGATCGACCGATAATGTCTAAAATCTTCTTTTCGTTGTACACCACATCATCATATACGCCCGAGACTGCTTGTACTGCGCTTTGTTATCTCGCCAGTGACAAGTCCGCAAGACACTCTGTAAAGTTTCGACACCCGGCTAAAAACCCATGACCGAAGGAGACAAAACATTTGGTCGCCTCCTTCATGAGTTTGCCGCGTGAAGTGGCGCGGTATAGTTTAACTCAGTATGAGTCCCTAGCTACTTCATATTCACTTTACACTTATCTAGCTATTGATATCACCATTTGAGATATATCAACGTCAAGATTAACAGGGTACCGATAAAGTTTACTTCAATCAATGCGGACATGTATGTATTATCTATCCGTAGCGCCGTCACTTTCGTTACTAACTTCATGCAGACTCGAGAACACCTATCATGCAGCATCAACATAAGCCCGTCTATATCACATCTCCCAATGAGCTACTGGTAAGCACAGGTAGCTACGAAATCAGGAGAGACTCCGACCGCCCAAAAGGAAAATGCAATTAACCGCCTGAGGATAAACCCTTAGGACCCTCCGCTTCCAGCTGTTTCTCTAGTTCTCGCCGTCTCATATCGTTCTCTATTCTAGCCTTCTCCCGCTCTAATATGACCCATCGTATCTCCTCATCCTCTTTTTCCAATCCTTTCCTCAAATACCTGAAATCTAATCTAGCCCCAGTCGGGACTGTTAGATCTCCTCCTCCCCACTTCTCAATATCACCAGTTTCTGGGGGTGAATCCCAGCCTTTATAGCACCGGTCTACACCCCATTGGCCAGTCTCTTCTGCATCTAGCCTGGCCTGAACATTCGCCATTGCTTGCCGTTGCCGCCGTACCCGCCGCAGATATAAGAGCCCGATGATCAGGGACATTATTAAGAGCGGGACAAGGACCGCAAGTGTTATTTTCCCAGCCGAGGATGGGGAGTGTGGGGTAAGATCAATATCGGTGTACGCGTGATCTGCAGAGGATATTAGTGAAAAAAAATCGGGGTCTGAGTGATGCACCATGACTTACTCCTCCTCAGCAACCGTCTTGTAAATCCTGTCTTCGGCATCGCTGCTGGTATGGCCATTTGGAATCGACAATTAATGTTATCGACCTACAAACACTCCTCGCTTGACGGCTGTAGTCCTTTATATAAAGCCACGAACACTTGTGATCAGACTTGCATCTAGAAATAGATGTTGTCAAGAGCCTCTCTCAGATGACCATCTTCCGAGACATGTGGTCGCCTAGCTTGGCCTGTTGAGGCTTGTGTTCCGATTGCCAAGGCGAGTGATACAGGGTGTATCTCGGTAGCTCCCGTCAGCGCGTTGATGACATCGAGATTTGGGTCATCTTGGCTGTGGATGTTTGCCCTTCTGGGACTCTCCTTGGTGGAGGAATCTGGGGACTCCACAGTAAGACACGCGATGCCGGGTTACCGGGGCTACTGTTGTTCCGGGTGTAGGAGCTGTGCATGTGATGTGGGTGGCTACATGATCAAAGGGAGGGAGCATCATGCACATACAAGAAGGACGTTTACTGGCATCAAGAGCATAAAAGGTTGGTAGTGCGTTATGTGATCATGCGGGTCTAAGTTAACATAAGAGGCCGGTGAACAGACTACATAAAGTATAAACTACATGTACTTCTCCCGAGATCCTTCCCACTCCAATTCTACCACTACCATGCTCAGCCATATAGAGAGTACAGACTACACAGTTTCATCACACCCAGATACCATGCGATACTCAGATGTCGTCAAAAATCGTTCCGCATGTCATTGGATCACTGTTTAGTCAATTGAAGAACCGAACTCCAGAAATCGAGTGATATCTCAGGGGGTCGTAGCGTTCTTGCATAGCCGGGGAATGGTCGGATTCTCCTCTCCTATGGACCTATAGTGGTGCCATTCTCCACTGACCCGATAGCTGATGACGTGCAGACATTTCTCCTCTACTCGTATTTTCGTGACGTTTGTAAAAGGAACCACTATTGCATACCATACAAATACGCGCCAAGTCCACAATTTAGTATGGTATGCAATAGCGGTTCCTTTTACAAACGTCACGAAATTACGAGTACTCTACTCTATTTCTGAACACTGCATGTATACAGGTGTGGAGTAAATACATGTATGTAGCCTCCCCACCGCAAATGGAAAGTCCATGCCTCTACTCTAGTATGGCTTGCTGGAGGAAGTTGGCTGACAAAATTAGTTATATCGACCTGTCAAGGAATAAACGTCACGAATTTCTGATTTAATTGTTTAATTGGTACAAAACTACCCCACGCGGGTAAGAGCACCCGTCTACATACGGGTAGTCCATAGGTGCGTTTTCGTTGTTTGCCGATAAACACCTGCATACCATTATTAATTACATATGTTTGGTAGTAATGGTCTGGGTTATGCGGGCTCGATCCTCGCCCGGAGGTGGATACCATAGCCAGTGGGCAAGGAATCGCCGTCCTGGTGAGGAGATCTGTGTCCGACGTCATAGGGTCAAGATCCCAGATAGTAACGGGTATGGTTGATCATGGAGCTGGTATCCTAGAGAAATGTCTCAACACCTTAGGGAACAAGGAACAACTAAGGAAATCTTATTTGACATGGATCTGGGGTCTCATAGATGTGGTTATGCATGGGAACTCGTGAAAGTTCTAACGCCACAAGGTAGCAAGAAAGGAGGACGCATTGTAGGTATTTACATATACGTCACACGGAGGTTTTAGGATCCAATCCCCAAAGGCGTTTTGACAATGGACCATAAGTCGTGGCTGAGGCGCAACCGAAAGGACAGATCGGTTCAAACATTTAAATTACTGACCTCTTTAAACAGTACTTAGTCTAAACCCCAGATTCCTGCTGAGTTGGACAACATGGAATCTCAGGACTCATAACTACCTCCTGCAGCCATCCCCACAACATTAAATAATTTATACAACCTAAAGAAGTTCTACATCAGAAACGAATATAACCGAGCCGATCAGATCACACCAGTTGATTCCGGCTCCTAATTTTCCCCGGATGACCCCTTCTTGACCGTAAACAGGATGGAGCTAGGAATCTCGACCTCTGTAATCTGCGGCGCGTCATTTCCTTCCAACTCCAGTCTCTTCTTATCTACCTTACTTGTATCTAGAGGAGCCTCGAGTTCCGCAATAAACGCGTTATTGTTTACGCCCGTGGCTACACCCGCGCCAACACGAGAACCCATATCAGAACCTGAATTCGCACTAGCACCCGCAAATCCGGCACCCCTCATGCTCGAAGTTGTTCCCGTACCCGCACTCACACCCGAAACCGCAGAGAACTGACTGTTTCTCATGCTCGCAGCACCCGAAACGAACAAGTTACCTTTTATCCCAGTCCCTGGACTCATAGACATAACCGGGCTTGAGTCTAATTCCATGCACCCCACCATCGACGACCCATCAAGCTCAGCAATAAACACTTTCCCCATTCCTCCTGGTCCTGGGTCCAATTCCGAAACCGCCGTGTCTAATCGCACATCTCCATACCCCTTCTCCGCATCCGACTGATTCTTTTCGATTGGGAAGGCAGGCTCCAATGGTGGGGTGGCGGTAGCGGCGGCAGCAGCATGGCGTCGCCGTCTCCAGTAGAATATGCAGGCCCCTATTAGGATTATGACGATGGGGATTGCGACACCCATAAGAATATAGCCTACGGAGCTTATCATGGGATGCGGCGCGTGATTGGGCGTGGGCTCTGTGGTTGCGGTTGAGGACTCGATTGTTGTGGATAAGGGGGTGGAGCTACGTAACGTATGTTAGGCCTACATACCAGCAGTAAAGAGGAGATGCAGACTTACCTTTCTGAAGATGAGGTTGAAACCGGACATGGCGTTGGGTTGGCATCGGTTCCACAGTTGTCCCAGATATCTGTTGTAGTAGTAGTTGTTGCGAATAGTGCCATTATTAATTAATTGTGGATATACCGTACCCTGAGTGAGTGAAGGGATGCGGTTGGATGGGGCTTGTTGGAGAGAGAGGAAGAGTAATGTCTAAATATTGTCAACGTCCCCCCTTTTGACTTAAAAGGAATGCTGATGTCTCATATAAGCATATCGGGCCGGTAGTCTAATGTAGGGTGGAAATGAGGTTTGATGTCTCGGATATTGGGTAAGTGACAACTAGGATACCAACGACGTCCGTGTGTTTTTTCGGGGGGTGATTCATCATGTCTCACTCGTATTCGGGCTTAACTACTATTGTGCACAAATAATCTTAGGATCTGCACTAATGGACTCGGGGATTATATTAGGATCTGCAGGTGGATTGGTATATACAGGGTATCTAATACCTACTCCAGAGTAAACATTTACCGAAAGCTTGCCGCTGAATATATTCGCTATCTGAGCGCGGTTCGCATAGCAACTCCTGCGAATTGGCGATAGAGCTTGTATCCCGAACCTCGCTTGAAAAGCGCCCCCAAACAATGCTGAATACATTGAAGCAAAAGTCCATAGTGTGATCTCCGCGGCGACACTGATCGACATGAAAGTGCACGATGGACCAGCCACATCTCAACCTTTATCGCATGGGTTTCCGCCATCTATTTTACACACGTTAGATACTTGCAGTTAGTAAACATGAGCCTACAAGGAAAAATTCAGGCTCTCTTGCAGACTCGGAGGATGTGGTGGGGTATTCTGTGGTTAGCGCCGGCGGTCTAACTACTTTGGGATGGAAGGATTAGGGGAATTGCGGGCTAGCGACATGAAGTGGGGGCAGCAATCCGATCGGAGGTTTTGGGCAGCAAGCCATTGTGGGTCGCCGAGTGCGGAAACCGTTGTTTGTAAGGGGCTGTCAAGGCTTAGACTTGTGATGGGATCTGTATGGTGGGGGGTAGTGGTAGAACTATCGCGAGTGACGTATTCCTGGGGTGGCTTTATGCGGACACCTGCTGCGACTTTGGATAACGTATTAAGGATCGATGCTACGAAGTCTTTAGTAAAATTCCAATTACAATCGACTAACTAAGACCATACCTGTATTACTAGAGAAATATAAATTAATGAATTAAACAAAAAAAAAAAAAACTAGAGAAATATATATATATGCCAAGACACCAATCAACCAATACCGGCGGGTAGCGCTAATAAGGCTACAACCAATTCAACATTATGGGGTGTTGAACTTTAGTATGAAACTAGAGGAACGAGATTTACGTTGCGGCAGAGCTCGAGTTGGTAAGTTGTGTTGCGAGATTGTCTAGTTATTAAGGTGGCATTTACTGCTGTATTGACAGAGCGCCTAGTAATCGTGGTTACGTTGAAATTGGACAACAATGGAATTAGCAACTTGAGCTTCGAAATCTTCGATGAAGTAGATAATGTTACCTGACAGACAATAGAGACAGCGCATATCTCAGTACGCGAAAGGGCTTTCCTAGTTGATACGTCAGCGCGATAAGTTCGACTCATTTGAATTCCTGGTAAATGTCGCTTCCAGATCAGTACAAGCGGGATATCCGGGACTCTGGTAAATCCATCATCTAAATAGCTCTACCTAGACGGACTGAAACTTTCTCCCCTAGGTACTTGCGACACTTGTACCTGAGGGCTGCCTACAGGCTCATCAGATCTGGTATCGGGAGCTTACGACCCGTGGCCGCATTTCTCTGCCCAACGTGGACCTATCTTCCAGTACCGCCATAGGCTCACAGAACCAGTCCCTCGAACTCTATTCCCAGTTTGTACCTCACCTATTCTGGCACCACCACCCCGCCATGGAGCCACAGGTACAACACCGTTCCTAGCACCTACAGGTGCTTCCAATATGTGCACCCCACACTGAACATCTCCTTCCCCTTCCGGAGCTTCCAGATAGCTCTTCTCACTGGCCTTCGAGCCTCGAATATATGCAACACCACTAGCCTCTCCTAGTCTCTTTACTACCAGCTGGATTCCTGAGATATATTGCCATTGGTTCTGATCTGCTAGAATTTGTGTTAATGCTTGTTTTATTGATAGAAAGCCGGACAATGAGGAGAGAGAGCGTTAACGTTCAGCCAGAAAGTGACAGCTCGGCGAAAAAATGCAAAGACGTCTAGAGTAATATTTGGCCTTACCCCCCCAAAGAGGTATGGAGCTGTGCATGTGTTACGCATACCGACTCTTACCTGGCCTCATCTTCTACGTCATAAGGCTATCTTTCAAGGACTTTATCAAAAAGGAAGCTCTTTATGACTCCGGACTATATCTTCCTGATTGCCAATCCAAAACTCTATATATGACACTCGAGGACCAATCAATGAATTAAACAAAAAAAAAAAAAAAAAAAAACACACGAGGACCAAGTGTTACAGGAACTACGGAAGCACTGTTCTACAGGCTTAGGACAGTGAGAAATACGAGTGACGGGTTGTGATGCAAGGCCGGTCGGGTAACGGAAGGGCAAGCATAGAAAGGTATCGGGTAGTGTGGGGGCACGCGGTGTCACCACGCTAGGCCATACTATTATGACGGCACGCTTACTGTTGGGTGTCTCACCCAAAATAGAATAGTAAGCGGGGCTTACGGCTGTAGGCTGCTCTACTTAGAGAAGTAGGTCTAGGATAATAGTATGGTACAACCCGATGACTGGCAATTGCAAGGTTCATGGTTACGCGTCGGAATTAGAATGGAGGACGGGACTATGCGGGGGCGCTTTTCTATCTGGGTTATCTTCGGGAGCGTTGTCCTATTCTATTATCGTTGTATCAGTTAGTATTAGAAAGCGGGCCTTGGCATAGGTTCCAACATGTATAAATAGGGCTTGATTCTGCGAAGACTTGAGGGTATCATCAACCATCAAGTCAAGGGAATCCGGTTTACAATATCATCAGTTTAAACGCTACAGAATTATCGCTTAGCACTGGCCATTTCCCCAAACACTATATTGTGCCTTATCCCTAGCTTTTACTCTTTACCTATCGCATACACTACCAGAAGTCTCGATAAGACAGCTACTCGCTTAAACCAATACTCTGAGTATTTTGCTTAGTGGCGGATAGTCACCGTGCTCTCAGTAGAAGAATAAGCTCTTAGTCTATTAGAAAGACCAAAGTACTATATGCACCCCCGAGCAGCAACCGCAGCCATCAATAACTACCTTTGCGCTACATCCTTCATCGTTCAAAGAGGAAGCGCCGAACATCTATACTGCGGATACCTTCACTACTCAGGTTTCTTCGCGGAAGCAGGAACTACCACTACTTTCGAAGAACACGACCCCGAAATCCTCAACTACCCAGAACTCTTCCCGATCAAGATCACTCTCTCCCAACGATCTTTCGGACTTGCCCACCCGGCCCCCTGGTTCATTGCTCAACCCTGGTGCATAAGGCAACCACAGCTCAAACTCGAGCAACTTAGCAATGTCAAGGGCTCATCAGCAACGGTCGGAGGAAGACTACAACATGGAGAGTTCAATCGCCTTGAGAGATCGAGGTATATTACAAACCCAGGCGAAGAGGCGCCACAGGAAAGAGAGAGATGTGCCGATAGGCTCCCTCTTCACATCGACGAGGCAGGAAGAATCTTATGGGCAGGCGAGGAGGCGGCAGGTAGACCACCGGGAGTTCTCCCCATACGTCACCCCAATCAGAGAAAGATCCTCTACTCAGAGGCCCTCGGTGCCTCGGGTAATGGACGACGACGAGGATACCAACATGGACGTAGAGGAACGGCGGGTGGAGAACCCTTTTGGCGACCTTATTGGGCAAGAAGTCCAGCGACAAGGGGCCCCCGTGGTACAACAGCTCAGCCGCGGGATCGAGGAACTCAGCATGCACATGCGGGATATCCCCATACTCAGGGAACTCACCCGGCAACAGCAGGAGTATACCAACAAGATCGTCGAGGACCTCCACGCCAAGTTCGCGGGGGACAGAGCCGAGCGCGACAATCAGCTCAACCAGGTCATGGCTCAACTGCGGGCGGAATCCACCGCCGCTACCAGCAACCTCGGTCAGGTTCTTGGGCAGATCGTCGAAGCAACTAGGGCGCATCAGGAAAGGCAGGAACGACAAGATCAGCACATAAACGCGTTGACCAACTTCGTCCAGCAACTCCCAAAGGATGGCCCAGTGCAGATACCCGCGGAGGTTATGGCTGCCCTCGAAAGGATGGAACGGGACAGACAAGCCGCGATGGAAGACCAGTTCGCAGGTACGAAAAAGAACCTGGAGGAGATAATTGAGCAGATGCGGGTAGCAGCCAATAGAACGGCAACAGCCCCCGAAGGCTCAGGAGGCGGAGGCGTAGTACCCCCCCAACCCCCTCAGAACCCCCCTAGCAATTCCGGAGAGAGACCGGAAGGATCAGGGAACCAACCCCCCGTACCCCCTCGCTCCGAAGCAAGAAGCCAGCAAAGTGAGCAAGGAGGCAGGGGAGGCGATGGCAATAACGGCAACGGCGGAAACCGCGCAAAACCACGAGACCCATCCCCCTCAGACTCATCCAGCTCCTCCGATTCAGAGGACGATCGCCGAGCACGCGAACGAAGACAGAGAAAACGGGAGGAGCGAAGACGCCGTAACAGGCAGCAAGAGGTAGACCTCATGCACCCCCCTCGCGCCACCCTGGGAGATACGCCAAAACAGGCAAAAATCCCCTTCTCCGGAAAAGCCGACGAAGACGTACGACACTGGATCGACCAAATGGAAGTCTTAATTGAACTTCAGAGGAAAGTCCGGTGGGACGACCAAACTAAGATCCTGTGGGCGTCCCTCGAACTTACCGGGAGTGCGGCAAAATTCTGGCGAAACTTCGTGGAGCGACTATCGGTAGACCCCTGCATCGGAACATGGGAGAATTTCAAAAACGAATTACGGATTCAGTACGGCAATCGAACAAGTCAAGAACAAGCCAAACAGAAGATGGATAAGCTCCGTCAAACTGGCATGATCGATGACTACATCAATGAGATGCA